ACCTTATGCTGTGACAGCTTTTAAATGGTTTTTACATTGAAAATTAATGGTGGTTTTCAGGTTGCTAAAAAAAAATGTTATTCTACAGTAAGGCTCTTAGAAAAAAAGTCACATCTTTAAGTAATGCCTCTGTGCTTGAACACAAGCTAGAGGCTTGGCTGTCAGTCTCATAATAGTAACAATATGTGAGTGCAGCATGTCTTCTAAATCTATATTAAATCTGTGCGTTTCTATCTTATTATGGGTTTTAATCACATTTTTACAATGACAGTCCATTCATTTATCTTCTTAATAATCAGCAATGTTCTTTTGTCTGCTTAAGGATCTTTGGTTTTGCCCACACAAGCCCTAAAAGTAGAAAACATGATGCAACATGCTATAAACTCCTGATCATACCCGTCTACCCACTGAGAACACATCATTTGCCTCTGCTGAGACAGCTCCAGACTTGGACAAAATGAAATCATTAAGCATACGAACATTTATTAATGAAATAAAAACTTCAAAACCCAAGATCTTCCACCTTATATCCTAAAATCCCAGAGACCCTAGGTCAAACTTTCAAGCCACTGAAAAAATCAGTTCTGCTTAAAGTCAGTATAACAGTGATTACTTGTCACCTTTGAAAATAAGTCCTTAAGTTTGTTTCAAACTGTGTATAAAGAACACTATCTTCAACTCAGGAAGTGTGTGGTTTTTTTTTTCATTTAATACAGCAAGGAGCGACACTTTCAGAACTGCTTTCAGTTGATGGTATTTGAACTATGATCTTTTTGCCCTAGAATTCTTGACGTACCTTTTAAAGCCTCAGAAGTCCCGGGTGAGCACATCAGTCTGTTCATTCTAATTAAAGTTCCTCTTCTTCAAACGCCTTTCCATCTTTCTCTAGTATAACACTGAGCTCTTCAAGTTTTCCACAAACCATTATCTGCAGAAATTTCCTTGTCCTCAGTTACAGAACCTCATTCATCTCTCTTCAAACACTTTTAAACTTTTGCAATGCTGGATAGAAGACAAGAACTTCCACAAGGTGTCCACTTGTCACTCATTTTGCTCATCTTAAACCTGTGTAGAATTCTGGCCAGACTTAGGCAGATATTCATACATTAACTAGCCACCTTTAATATCACAACGTTAATTATAAAATAAAAGAAAGGTTTAAATCACGATATAAATATCTGAAATATGGGAAAAACATACCCTAAAATAACCATTTATCTCCACCAAGTATAGACTGAGATCAGGTACACAAAGCTGTTCACCTTAGATGTAGACAAGGTTAAGCAAGGTGAATTCTACTCCAACCACCACATTCTTGGTCCGTAACTAGGATCAGAAGGCTCTGCAGAGGTATTTTCAGGTAACAGAGCTTGTTAAGTTATCTGACTAACGGCTAAGGAAATTAAACACAAAGCCATGGCAAGGATGGGAACACCAAGTGAAAACCAAGCACACTGACTCACTAATCTTAAAACCATCAAAGGAGAATGATTCAGATCATTGTTCCTGGTGCCAAACCCACTAAAACAACTGTGGGAAACTCTCTAGAAAGCCAGATTACCTAAATGGTGTAACACTTCTTACAGAATACATGGGGATGAGAATTTAGGGACATAATAGAAAGAATTTGAGGATCATGTAAAATTTATGTTGGTTTTTTTTTTAAGGGGATTGAAAACTTCTGAAACGATGTTTAAGGGAAGCACCAAAAGTGTGTGAAGGGAGGGACTAAGGTAGACTAGAGAGAAACAAGCAAAGAAAAAACAGGGACAATAGGATAAAGGAGGCTAGTCCCAGGTAGACAGTTTACCAGTTCCACTTCAATGCACAATCCTGGCACTTCATCACTGCAGTTCGTCTGACATTACTACACCCTATTGCTAACTGGTCTTGTGTGCCAGGTCTTGTATGTTTAGATGTCTACATGTCAATGCCAGAAAACTTCAAGTGGGACCAGTCCACAAGTGGGACAGCAGGAAGTAGTATGAGCCACTGGAGCAGGACCACACGTCAGAAGGACTCAGGGGTCTAGGGGCCAGCAACTGGGAGAGAGAGGCTGGATGCCAGTCACTGCATAGGCTGCCCTACAGCACTCAGCAGAGGCCCAGACTGAAGTAAAATTGCCACAGTCCCATAGGCATGGGGATTTTGCACCATGACCAAAGTGAAACCACCCACACGGACACCGGCAAAAACACTCCTGTGGAATTTTTTTAGTTGGTGTACAATGTTTATCTATTTCCATAATATATCTCAGAAACCTGAGTGGCAGTTTAGCTTGGTTTAAGTATCTAGAATATACCCAGAGTAAAAGAAAATATTCTATTGAAATATCTGGATCATTACGTAGCCTGGCTATGATAAAACAGGAATAAAATGTTGATGACTCCATAGATCTTTATCATGAAACAGCTAAAATTCACCAATGCTATAAATATGGATATAAATATTTCTGTATTAAAGAAGTTATTTCTGTTCCAAAACAGTCTTTAAAGTTCTTCCTGAAGTACAAATATATACAGAAGTTAGCTTTTTTTAACCAGTGGGTATGTAGGCACTGTAGAAAACTGTCAATCATCTCCCCCCCTTTTATTTTTCCTCCTCTCAATCAACCACAATGAAATTTCTAAGGCAATCATTAACAGATGACTTGTATTTTCCGTATCTTATGCGCTGCTAAGGATTTTATTCTACATACAGTCGGGTATGCATACATGCAGATGCATGTATTTGTATTCTCTGCATATAATGATTTCAACAAATCCAGGTAACTTCTTTAAGGTAAAATGAGGCCTGATGACACAGCTCAAATCAGCAAGGGAAAAAAAATAAAAAACAAACCACCAAAAAAGAAGAAAGTAAAAAAATTAATAGCTCCAGCTCTTTTAGTGTAATTTCTAAACCACTTCAGTGATGGCCGGTGACAGACTTGCATGAGCACTTCTGGCAAACAGAGCTACAGCTTGGTAACTGCTTTATTTAAATAAGTAAGCTTGAAAACCTTGAGTATTGTGCAATTATGTATTTTTGGTAGCTGGACACAAAAAGCGTTAGAGAGCAACTGTAAGGGTTTCCAAAAGGGTCCAATCAACAGCAGCTTGCCCAACAGTGTGCAAATCCATGGCCAGGGATCCCCCAAACAGACTGGGAACAACTGTAAAATTCCAAAGGACTGACATCCAACCACACCTACACTGGTTTTACAACTAACATGTTTCTTGAAGTAGCAAAGACTTGATGTTGGAAAACAGATTTTTGCCTGGAATTCCGAGAGGGTGCCCCACTTGATGAAAAGACTAAGATCTCTGTATAAGATTATACCCATTGAATTTGGAAAAAAGAATCCATACCCAAATACACAGGCTCCAAGTACCCTCCTAACTTTAAAATTCCCTTTTTCAGCAAGTTATTACAATCTCTACAGCAACATTTTTAGCTGACCCCAATCCTTTCAGCTGCTGTACTTGTGGGTCTGTCTGAATCAATAGTGCACAAAAGTCCTTGAACACAAAGAGAGCCTTTGGATATAGCTCATGCAGCAGAGCTCCATCCACACCTAAAACCACACTGTACCCTAACTTAACTTCAGAACTGAAAGCTCTCTAGCTGCATTAAGAGTTCTGCACCAAAGCTAATAGATTTCAAGTAGCAGGACTTGTTCACACCAGAAGTTACCATGACTCAACAAATCAACAACCAACTACATCAACTCAAGCTAAACTGTCACAGATGAAAAATTGTAGTCATGTTCCAGAAGATTAGTCTGGTTTTGTAAATTGTGCAAGACTTGACTACAGCTACACAAGCCATACTTTGGACTGCACATTCTCCCTCAGTTTTCTCAGTGCTTCCGGAAGGAAATAAAACTGTATTTGGCAGACTGCACTGTATTAGTACAACAGGCACACAGCCAGCATCAGTCTATTCCCTGATCTGTTCCACTGCTTCTTGTCATCCTACTTCCAGCTCTTCAGATCTTCCTGCATCACCCCATAACGTAAGTGATCTAGAGAGTAAAAGATACATTATGGCCTCTTATCACCAAACAGCTGTAATTTTGCTATGATGATCCAGGAATCTTGCCCAAACAGTGCTGGGAGAGACAATGAAAGATTAAGACCTAGAAACACATATGGATGTTAGCGTCAGTAGATACACTGAACAGGATACTGTAGGAAGGCAGGTGCTCAAAGTGCTCAATTTCCAGACTAAAAAAGAAAACAAAACATTAAACTACAAAGTTTATTGTAATTGAATTTGTAAAGCATGGCTGGGGGGAGTGTAGTTACAGACTGCAGAGTAGTGCAAAGGCTCAAAAAAACCCTTTTGTATGGAAGATGTTAAGCAACATTACGTTATCTCAGATTTCTGTAAGAGAAGCCTTCAGGCCTCGCTGAATTGCAGCATAATTTTCTGATCATTGTAGTTCTTCAGTAAAAGTGAAGCCTATCCCACTGGAAGAGAAGCAGAGCATTTCCCAGACAAACTGTAAAAGAACTTTGGGCTACAAGTATGCTGTGAAATATGTAGCTTTTATTTTTCTTATACAAACTTAAAATAAAGGCTTGTAATAAATCTCACCTGAAGAAGTTTGCGCTTTATATAATTTATGTCATCTTTCAACCAGATTTTAGAAATAGCTGAACAGAAAAGGTATTTATTCATTATGTTATTGTTAACATTAGCAACTTCAATGGTCTGAAGCTTTGTCAAGTCACATAACAGAAAAAAACTATAAATACGTTTACAGATGTCTGAGAATCCTGTTGAATTCTTTCTGGATAAAAGAATCATAGAATCATAGGGGTTCAGCGGTCACAGCTGTGTCCCCTCCCAGCTTCTTGTACCCCCAGCCTGCTAGTTGGTGGGATGGGGTGAGAAGATGAAAAGTCCTTGACTTAGTGTAAACACTTATGTATAAAAGAAAAAAGCTACCTTACTGTAATAAGTATAATGCAGTATATTTGTCAGTTGGAATAATCAAAATCTAGTCAATTGCCTTAAGCTCACTTCTCTACTTTATTAGATTTGTGCAAAACAAAACAGTAACAAAAAAACAAACCAACAAAACAAAAACAAACAAAATGAAACAAAAAAAAAGATAATAAACAAAAAAGCCCCCAAACCCAAAGCCACAGCATAAGGACAACTGATTTTATAACTCTATGGAATGAAGTTGTTTTGCCTCTGACAAATCTGAATCCATTTTATTCTTCCTTTGTAATAATGGTACAGAGAAAGAGGACTGGAACTACAGATATCCTCCAACAACTACCATGTTATATGCTTATATCAAAAAGCACAAACTCCACTGCAATACCCAGAGCTGGAGCAGCAGAAGACAGTCAAATGGCAATAAAAAAATTACAGGGACAATTCTTATGACTACCCAAGGTAGATGACTTGAGAAATCAGAGCATGTGTATACTTGGAAGAAAAGCCACGTTTCTCAAGTCATATGGTGTCTTACCAATGTCCATCAAATTTTGTACAGTGAATTCATTCAACAGTGACATTTTCTTTCACTGTGACATTTTGTACACGTGAAAACAATTACTTCACTACTGCCACGATATGTTTCTTCCTCTCTGACACAAGTGGCACAGATCCTGGTTTGCTGTGCTTACGACGATTCAGTTCCCTAGAAACAAACAAACAGAAAAAAGTTCAGTGTTCAGCACAATGATTTAACCAATACCAGCTTCCTCCTTAAGCCACCAGTGGAAATCTCCTACAATTAAAAAAAAGACATTAAGAGCTGCTCTGCTTTTACTAAAAGCCACCTACTTCATCCGGTAAGAAGATGGACTGTCCCTTTGAAAAATAATTTTAAAATTGGCTAACTTAGTAAAGTTTCAAATCAAGGCTTTTCTTGGGAGCTCAGCTTACTTGATTTTCATGTCAATCTTTGCTGCTCAAGTTCATAGAGGCTTTCAGCTGAGAAAAATAACTAAAACCCACCACTTCTCCATTTTACTGTTAATTCAATGGCTACAGCAAAGCATGCCACCTTCTGCTCCTAGAAATTCCAATATGGCAACAATCCAGCCGACTAATAACACTTACCCTAGAGTCTGCCATGAAAAAAAACAAACATACCCACCAAAAAAAAGCATCAAAACAAAACAGAAAAACCCCTCCACACAGCCAAACCAGTCCTTTCTTGCAATGTTGCATCATGCCATGCTTAACAGAACACTGCAGTTCCTTCCAGTACAGTATTTGCTCCTGTTTTTTCACTATACTTTTGGGAAGCAGCCAGTCCCCACTGACACAGGCACCTGTCTGCATTTTCCTTATAATCAAAGGTTAATCAATCCAGTACAATTGTATGATCGCTTATTCAGATGTTAAAAGTAGCTCAAACTTGTTCCTCCTACACACTGTAGCTCTGCGTAGCACACTACAGCACTGCAGTGGTGCATTTTCTGAAGACAGAGAAAACAAAGCCAGAAGAGGAAGACATACTTTCGCCGACGAGCTTCTCTCATGATACGCTGCTCCTTGATTTGACAAAATATACTTTTAGGCAAGTGACGGTGTTGAGCAATGCGCCTGATCTTTGGGTGATACTGGAACTTCTCCTTCAGCTTCTGATTGTAATTCATAGCTGCCTTCTCTCGTGGTGCAAGCTGTGGGGAAAACGCCACAAACAAGCGTTATAAAAGAACAGGGCTATAACTGTCCTGCTTTTATCTACAAACCAAAATTCTAACTTTTAACTCAGATGGCTTCCTTCTGGCGAATGGCTGGAACCACAGGAATTTCAGAATTAAGGTAGGTAAGTATTAAAACCCTACAATTCCAACAATACCCCAATGATCAAACACAAAACATTATCAAAGTTCAGAGAAGTAGCTGAATTTGCTCCCTGAAAACCAGATTTTAACATCCTTTAGAGAAAGAAGAGAACAGAAATAGCTGACAGTAAAACCTCTTTGATCAGTCTGCCTGCTTTCCTAACCTCTGATGATGATCAACTTCCACTGCGAAACAAAGATATGCAGGCATTTTAATGACAGCCAGTATAAGTACAAATGCTATAAATTAACTGTCTTCATGAACAGCTTTGCAGACAGCTCTTTAGGTGGCCTAAATCTTACCCAGTGCCTTGATCCATTAGAAAGCACAGTGCACATATTACATTTCAAATATTAGCTTGACTATATGGCACACAGGGAGTTCCAGCTGTCATCGTGCAGCTAAAAATCTTAGTATCACAAACACATGAAATACAGGTAAGCTAGAATAACCACAAAAGACTTAATTTTATTCATGTTTAAAATTATGTCTGAACAACCATTAACACTGAAAGTGAGAAATGCCTTTTGCTGAGAGGTAACCTACAGAGGGTATTTATTTGTTTTCTAGAAGCAGGCAGTTTCCTTTGGTCATAACGCACATTCATCAAAAGGATAAAAAATATACTGTGTGTGCTGTGTTTCTGTTTAAAGCATGCACTGCTTCACATGAAGCATCAATCCCTACATATTTTAGATTTTCTCAGATCTGTCAGAATTCCAGTTGCATTTCACACTAGTGAGCTTTCACATAAACAGAAAGTCTGTTAATATGAAATATTAACAGATGATAATCTTATTTTCTTCCTTCTACCCTCCTGCCCAAAACAAGCTCTATAAATCCAATATTTCAGACATCTTAAAACACTTCATACTTTCAAACAAGCAGTAGCACAAGTCTTTTGCCCTCCCACATTTATTTAATCCATTGCTACCTTCATCTAAAGTACTAAAAGCAAAGCAGTATTTCAGATAGCTATTATTTATTCAGCTTTGGAAATTACTCAGTTTCACTAATTTCTTTGTTTCTCAGGAAAAACAGAACCTGAGTTTCAAATGCTAACAAAAAAAAAAAAAAACAAAAAAAAAGTGACAAAATCAACTTTATTGCACACACACAAGTTTGGAAATGACATTATTACCATTATTATGAAATATGCTTTTTTCCCTTTTTAAATCAGCAACTGGCTATTTCTTCTCCACTTTGGAATAGAAGTAACTTCTGTTAGAATATCTCATGAATTATGAAAGAATAAGTATCATACTCAGATAGTATCTGCTCTGAAATACCATTAATGGTCTGAAAGCAAGTATTAATAAAACACAGCAAAGGAGTTTCTCCTTTGAGACAATAAAGAACCCAGGTACCAGATGCAAAGCTGCTCATCACTCAGAAAATTCTTAGGCATCAGAAATACATAATGCTCTTAACCTCTGCTTCTCCACACTCTCTTATTAATAAAACCAAAACTCTTTACTTACATTTATCAATACCTCTCAAATGGCAAGTGAATAAATTTTATAATCTTAACCCACTAAAACTACACACCTCTCTGTCCTTTACTGAAATGCCTTACAGTGAGCCAACCTAAATAGCTGGTTCGCTCTCAATAAATCTGAAGTGTTCCCACTCTGCAGAAAACTGCCAACATAATCCAAATTAGAGAGCTTTTACTTAAATTAAATGCAATGGTTTTCCTTTAATTTAAGAAGGGCAAATTGCTGATTTAATGTAATCTTGATGATTCTACAGACAAGAGGTGAATCTGTAAATTAAAGATATATCCAGGATATCTTATTTTAGAAATTAATATAGATCAAGGTAGCTCCATTTTGAGTCTGATTCAATTTTTATGTGTAATGTATAGAAAGTATAGGTACATAGAAGACCACGTAGCCGGTGACTTACCGTCCAGCCACCAAACGCCAACACCCCATATAGCAGACGGTGCTAAGTACACCTTCATCATGATGGTAAGAGAAAACTCTGCAGTAATGACAAGTTTCTGTCTATTTATGAGAGATGGCAGATAGCTAAGAGAGCAGACTGCAATAGCACACTGAATTCCAACTTCTCTCTTGCAAGTCATTTTACAAAGGTCAATGTAAACAGCTGAAGAGAACAGTGTTACTTTTCATTCTGGTGTGAGCTGGAGAAGATGCCATAAACAGAGTATGATTTAGCAGGATTAAAGACTTTGTTTAAAGGGACTAGAACCCTCTATAATATAATAAATTAGGATTTATATGACATCATGTGTGGAAGACTTGCTCAAAGATGACATATGACCCTTTTTTCATACGTTCCAAAATTGAATGTGCAACTTCCTTCCTTTGTGAGGGAAACAAATATTATGCAGCAAAAAGACAGCTGATTTGTGCCATTACCACAATAGTACTTCACAGCAAAGAACTAGAATGAAAAAGCTATAAAATGCAACTAAGCTGTCAGCAATGGGAGAATGCGTCCTCAAGTAAAATGCCTGTGTCTCGTTCCTCCCTCCTGGTGCTAACGGCTGGTTATTTTTCCTATCTAAGCAGGAAGGTAAGCCTTTTTCCAGAGCCCTAATTGAAGAGCTTTTCTTTTAACCCATCTTTAACAATTTTTTTTTCTTTTTAAAGAGGATTGTATTTGTATTGTGCTGCATTTAAAACTCCACACTATTCAACTCCTGTAATTCAGCATGAGAATAGAAAAATGGGTGTTTATCTATCCTGTCCAGGTTGCCTTTCTAGGTTAGGGCAGACAGAGCACAGATACAACATATTTTCAGAATGCAAATGTATCCCAGCAGTTTTCTACACCATATCGTGTCTTTATTTAATTCTTTCCATTGCTCTGTTTAAAGCACCTGCCTAAATTTATTGACATCAAGTTTATTTCTCATTATTTTCTTGGACCAAAAACTTACAGCTTCTTCACATCTAAAGAGATGACAAAAAAAAAGAAAAATAATGTAGATGTTAAGGGCACAAAGTCATAGTTCAAGGGATGACGTTACATGAGCATTGAATCACAAACCCCAAATCACTATGAAAAGAATGCCATGTCACACAATATCTGGTACTGCTGGTTATCAGCCTTATCTCACAAAATGGAACTGGATACTGGAAACAGGCTGAAAGGATATACAATTACTTGCACAGTTTTGATGCACTCCTGGTAATGCACTTCACTAGATCAAAACCAAGACTTATTACTGCACTTTCCCCTATCTTTTTCAGTCCTTACTCAAAAGCTGTTATTTCCGCATCTCACAAGAAAGTGGCAAACCTAAGCTCCACTCTCACTAGTTTTACACTTACTGATATACAAATCATTCCAAGCAGAAAGTTTTCTTCTTCTTCAGTTGCCCAGTGCTGTGTTCTAATTCCTAACTACTTTGGAAATGTAAGAGCCAAATTTTGCAGCTGTTACTCACAGAAGTAATGTTACTAAGTATTTACACTTAGCAGATGTAGATCTTTTTATGTGTCAATAGACTGAACAACAGTACAGCTTACTGAATTTTTACTGATGGTTTATTGCTTTCACTACAATTCGGAAAACCCAATCTATCTCTTTATTTATATTATTAATTCTACTCTGCTAACTGAAATCTATACTGCTGCTTTTCCAGCTTTTTCACTCAGAAAAGGCTATGTGTTCCTCTTTTTTTAAAAGACCAAAGTATTTATCTTTTCAGAAATCTTAAACCTCTCCAAGAGCAAAGGTACAAAAGCCTCAAACATACTTAACATTGTATTTTATGGTTTGAACTGTCTGGAGTATCTTAAAAACCTTGTTTAATTTAGTCTTTTGCTTCTGGACATGCAGAGCCAGATATTTACCGCTTTAAAAATAACACCTGTTTAAGTCCTATGTAATAACAATTATTTATGTTTTTATCAACTTCTGTTAAAGAGACAAGAAATGTTGTGAATTATTTTAAAGCAACTTCTGCAGTACCTCCAACAGAGAGATTTGGGTTCTGCTGCCCCTCTGTAAAACCCATGCAGACTTAATTGTCAGTGGAGTGAAGACACAGAATGCCTCTGGCTCCTCCAGAGACTTTTATTCTTACTCTAATGTTTCACTGATTTTTAATGAGTGCGATGCCAAATACATAAAAAACCAAAAGAAACATGCATGTCAAAACTGATGACTGCTAGCTAGGGTAGCCATGATTCAGAAAGTACAACCTTCCAACTGTATAAATGTTCCTCAGTCGCAACCTAAGTATGTATTTACTGTAACTTCCTTGGAACCCAGCAATACTAAAACCAAGTCAGACTAAGTACTTAGCAAAGAAAAAAAATGTTAAGAGTACCATTTTTCTTTTTCTATCAGGATACTGGTTTCCATCCACCCCCACCCCCAAAATATCCATCTTAAAATACAACATATTACAAGATGCTAGCATTATAACAGAAATCCAGTGACCTTTGGATGAGTCATTCAATCAAATGGTCTCAGCAAAGAAAAACAGCAGACTAAGCAACTAAGCATTTAAGACATTCTGACACTTCCGACAGAATTACCGAATGTTCAGCCCTGAATATGCAAAATGTTAAAAAAATAGCCCCAGACAAGCGAAGTGGACATTTATAAAATGAGCAAGCATATGTCTATGAAGATAAGAACACCCATCCTAAAAAAGAAGGTGCAGGTAGTGCAGGTAAAGAAAATCAGTGGAACCTGATAAATAGCTGTTAATAGTTCTGACATTAAGAATCACAGGAACTATCAAGTTGGGTGGCGCAAGGATTGGCACAGTTGCCTGAATCCAAGCAACATATCTAAGGTATATCCAAGAATGTCATAAGGCATAAAGATTCCACTCTTAAGTCCTACTAGCAACAATTACTCTCTAAATACCTGAAAAACAAAATTTCATAGTCCTTAAAAAAAAAAAAGATTAACAACAGCTATTGCATCCTGGATGTTTAATTATTCTCGTCATTTCGATATTAAGTAAATATCAGTTTAAATCTATATGAAGTTTAGATCATTATTCAATCCCATAAATGTCTGACTCAAGCACTATATGGGAAAATCATAGAATGGTTTGGGTTGGAAGGGACCTTACAAATCATCTAGTTCCAACACCCCTGCCATGGGATCCCACAAATCAATTCAGAACAGAAAAAAAATGATAGCATCCTCAACAAAAAGAGTTATTTCATTATTCCATTATAGAAATTAAATTTGAATAGTAGCCTGTAACCACAAATATTGTACAGGCTACAAAGTTGTCAGGGCTTTTATCTATAGCTCTGTTGCAGAGACGAGAGACCTATGGTGGGCCATGGCTAAAAATACACATTTGTTTATCTGTGCTACTCCATAACCAGTGCTGCACAGTACACGACAGTCCATGAATTACTCCTTTCCTCATCATAGCCCTAAGTACTCCTACCACTGCCATACCACACTTGCCACCTCTCCCAGCTCCACTCCACTTCCCTCCTATACAGAGACTATAATTTGATGGAGCTTCAGGTAACCACAAGCAGCCCTAGACATAACTATGCAATAGATCCATCCCTACAACATTCTTCCTTGAATTACAGCTCCCTATTCCTCCTCTACGATGTTTCATAAGATCAAGAAGAAATTTCCTCAAGCATTATCTGACAGCTATGCTGATGAGCTCAGAAAAAGCAACATAAGCAACTCCAAAATATCATAACAATACAAAGCTACGTAAGGGGATTATTGCAGTAGACAAAGTGTCAAATTCGTTCACGAAAGTCATTCAGTGCTTTAACACAACTGTGTAGACGGATATATGCAAGTGGTAACTATAATAGAACATTTTGGCTTTGTCTATACATAAACATACATATAAAAATTTGAACAAGTATAGCTGTAAAGACTTGTATCTAATTAGACTGATATCTGTTTCTAGGAACACTTCAAACTGACTTCAATTAAAGGGATTTCAAGCTCCACACTACTTTACCCACTTTGTGTCTGAGAGTAATACAGGTTAAGCACAATTTCAGTTACGCATTGATGCAAATAAACTATTTTTACAGGGCATATGTTTATCATGGTATGAACTGCACATGAACCAATCCCGTGCCAGCCAAACTTTTTGGAAGCAGTAACTCCAAACTTCAGTAGAATTACTTGTGTATGGCAAATGAGAAGTATTCCCTAGTGCAAAGAGATGATTTTTTACCTGGGTGCTACAGGTGAGAATTCATGTTTACTGAGAACTGATGACCTCTGTTAACATTAAAAAAGACCAAAAAACATGAAAGTGACCTCTCATAGCAATGAGGAATTTATTTTATTATGCAAGCTGCAGTAAATGCAATGAGCTGCAGTACATCAGTTTTCAAATTAAATACAAACATCAAATTAGTTTTACACTTTCCCTTTAGAAAGATTTTATTATTTGAATAGGCTAACCATTTGTAATAATGAAAAAAAAAAACCAAACGTCCTATCTTGTTATAACAAAAAGAAAAATGCAACTCTTACCACTCCCAGTTTTTCTGAAGCATTAGCTTTCCACAGACGAATATTCATCTCATCTGAGCCACACAGAATGTATTTGTTATCTGAAGTCCATTTTACTGTGATGACATGCTGCATTCGTTTTGTGTGATACACCTCCCTAGAGCAGAGACACATTTTCAAGTGATCACTGTTCTCACCAACATTTCTTTTCAAATAGCAGAAAGCATTCTGGTGAAGGCAACAGTAATTTTTTTACTTTTAGTTTCTAAATAATCTGACCTTTTAAAACACTGCTGATCTTAAATCTATCTAGAGAGATTCAAATAAAGTGTGATGGTTTGACTGATAAAGGACCCCCTAGGATAAGATACTTTTAGGATCAGATCTTCCATTTAGAGACTTTTCTCTGTTCCGTGGGATTAATTTTAACTTTGCAATTATGAAAAAGCCCAGCTTCTAAAGAATTTTAAGTGTCCCAGAAACCCTAGTCAGCTTATACGAGGCTCAGTTCTTCATATGTAAGGCTTTTGCTCACTAGATTTATGGCCATCGCACAGAGAAGGGGGAACAGTGTGGACAAGGAAGAAAATTCCTTCCACAGGCCTTGGCAGCAATTTGCTATAATGCAGGATAAGGCCTTCAGCTATGGTATTATGGGGTCTGCAAACTTCCCCTCAATGATGTGCTTTAACGTTGCAGATCATCAGTTTTGTGAATATTACTGTTCCACAGAGAGGAAAATTTGTAGAACATGGAAGCTGCTAACCATGGTGTAAACCAAACACACAAAAAACCTGCAATACCTCATTACACTTAAATTCCTATTGCAAGACAGGAAGAATGAAAGCTACCTGTATATTAGACATAAAGGAAAACATAAACAGTCCCTCTCAATCTTTAATGAAGTATAGGAGTACACAGCTATGTTGAATAATGCATACATACTTGCAATAAATATATACTTCTTCCCTAATCGCTATTGCAACATTACCACCCCTCAAACCACATAAACTTGACTTAGGAGCAACTCGGGGGGATGGATGGACGACACGGACGGACACTGGGGGACAAAGGGGCAAAGTTGGAGAGAGGAAGGCAACTAGAAGTAAAATAAAGTTATGAAGAAAAAAAAAAAGAAAGAACTGACAACAGAGAATAATGAAGGCAGGTTTATGAAGAACAAATGATACCAGGCAGATCTGATAACTGGCTTCAATTTTCATCAAACTGGAGGGAAAAAAAAAAAAAAAGGAAAAAAGACACAGTAGATCCAATCTGAACTTCAACAAAATATTTAATACACTGCCTTATGAAATATTACATGAAAAACTAATTCAAAGTGAACTGTATTCAAAGCATCATCACATGACAATGTGACAAAGCCCAGTTAACAAAATATGAACAAAGGGTAATAAGTGTGATCTGTTTCAATACAAGTGTCTCAAACTGGTCTTCAGGATCATACAACAATGCTTTTCATGTAACACTTTCAGCAATCATCCATATAGGATGAAGACAGCCCCTAGAAAGCCAAATGCTAGAATGATGTACACCACTGTGAACTTCAAGTGGTGACAGATACCCTACAAAGTGACCTAAAAATATTAAAGATATAGAGCGAGGGAAATAAAATGGGCTTCATCTTGGTGAAACACAAATGAGCACACCCAACAACAGTAGCTCTCTGTAATGTCAATTCAAAACTGCCTAAGTACTGCTATCCGTTAAGTAGAAGTTCTACTCTAATACATACTCCACAATTATGACACCAAGCTGTGTGGTTCGGTTGATACCCTGGCGGGAAGGAATGCCATTCAGAGGGACCTTGACACACTTGTGAGGTGGGCTGATGCCAACCTCATGAAGTTTAACTATGCCAAGTGCAAGGTCCTATACCTGGGTCAGAGCAATCCCAGGCACAGCTACAGGTTGGGCAGAGAAGAGATTCAGAGCAGCCCTGCAGAGAAGGACTTGGGGGTTTTGGTCGATGAGAAAATGAACAGGAGCTGGCTTCAGTGTGAGCTCACAGCCCAGAAAGCCAACCGTATCCAGGGCTGCATCAAAAGGAGCGTGACGAGCAGGTCAAAGGAGGTGATCCTGCCCCTCTACTCTGCTCTCGTGAGATCTCACTTGGAGTATTGTGTGCAGTTCTGGTGTCCTCAACATAAAAAGGACATGGAGCTGTTAGGACAAGTCCAGAGAAGCCACGAGGATGATCAGGGGACTGGAGCACCTCCCGTATGAAGACGGGCTGAGAAAGTTGGGGCTGTTCAGCCTGGAGAAGAGAAGGCTGTGTGGAGAGCTCAAGGAGCAGCCTTCCAGTATCTGAAGGGGGCCTACAGGGATGCTGGGGAGACTCTTCACTAGGGACTGTAGTGATAGGACAAGGGGTAATGGGTTAAAACCTAAACAAGGGAAGTTTAGATTGGATATGAGGAAATCCTTTCCTGTTAGGTTGGTGAGGCACTGGAATGGGTTGTCCAGGGAGGTTGTGAATGCTCCATCGCTGGCAAGTGTTCAAGACCAGGTTGGATGAAGCCTTGGGTGAGATGGTTTAGTGTGAGGTGTCCCTGCCCATGGCAGGGGAGTTGGAACTTGATGATCTTAAGGCCCTTTCCAATCCTAACTATTCTGTGATTCTATGATTCTATGAATTATCTGTCAACTACATGACCCATCAATCACAAGTTATATACAGAGTAATAATTCAATGTTGACAGGAAGTGAATGCCCCAAAGAAGATGTTAATGTACTAATTAAGAATTTTGAGGGCTAGGGAAGAAGGTTACTGGAATGAATAACACAAGAGAGAAAGGTGTAAAATCGCTACTCACCTGCTGTGACCTTTGTCTACAGGAAAAATGCGGATAGACTTATCAAAGCTGGCAGAGACAAATTCCTTCCCAGTGGGTGAATAATCCACATCAAGAACAGCAGATACGTGATCCATATGCACCGTCACAGGTGATTCAAGAAAGCGCATATCAAAAGTATATAAGCTTTAAAAAAAATTCACCAACAGCATTTTCAATATCAGATTAGCTGTTCACATGAATAGTACTGTTCAAAAGTAAAAAATTGCTGCGAGACATTGAAAGGGTAATGTCCTGGGTTCAGCAGTAGCAGTCATTTTTCCCCTTCTTGGTAGCTGGTGCAGTGCAATGTTTTGACTTTCAGCTCGGGAACGGAGCTGATAACAAGCGATGTTTTGGTTTGGCCAAGGACTTTGTGAGCCTCATGCTCTGCCAGGGAGGAGGGGAAGCCGGGAGGAAGCAGAGACAGGACACCTGACCCAAACTGACCAAAGAAGTATTCCATACCACAGCACGTCATGCCCAGGATGTAACTGGGAGTTAGCCGGAAGGGCTGGGAGACTGAGGGGTTGGAGGAGGTATCGGTCGGAGCTTGGTCGGGCTGGGGGGGCGAGTTATCGGTTGGCTGGTGGTGAGATGATGTATTCTCTTCCCTTGTTATTTCCTTTATCATTATTATCATTGGTGGTAGCAGCAGTGATTTGTGTTATACCTTAGTTACTAAACTGTTCTTATCTCAACCCGTGGGAGTTGCATTCTTTTCGATTCTCCTCTCCGTCCCTCCGGGAGCAGGGGGAGGGCAAGAAAGGGGGGGAAGTGAGTGAACGAATTACCTGACTGGGTTTAAACCACGACAGTTCTTTTTTGGCGCCCAACGTGGGGCACGAAGGGTTGAGATAACAACAGATTTGACTGGATTAATAGTCACTCGTCACAATGCTGATTTATTGGGTCTCAGAGTTGTTTTGCTTGATCTCACAGCTTCAGAATGTTGTAACTTACGTAGAGCCGGTATTTGCTGTGTTAGTGTTTATCAAGTATGGGGCTTGGGCTAAGGTTCTTGTCTCACTGTGCTTTATGGCAATGGCTTGTAATACGGGCGGGCTCCAGCAGCAGGGCGGGACGGACGTGGCCGTGGACTTGTACCTGGCCGTCTGGCTGCTCCTCACCGCCCTGGCCCTCACCCTACTCTCCATCTTCGTGAGGCTGCGGGGAGCCGAGGGGGAGCGGCCCCGGGAGCCGGCGGCAGCCGAACCGGCCCGGGAGAGCGGCCCCGGGCACCAAGCGGCGGCGGGAGCGGGGCCGGAGGCCGCGAGGGGACGGCTGCCGGTGGAGGAGGTCGGGGCGGTCGAGGAGAGGAAGGAAGCGGCTACCGAGCAGCGGGAGAAGGCGGCGGAGGAGCCGAGCCCCGCGGCCGAGCCCAGCCCCGTGGAGGAGCCGAGCCCCGCGGCCGACCCCAGCCCCGCGACGGCCGAGAGCATTCCCCGGAAGCCGCCCGCCGAGCCCCAGGAGGATGCAGGAGACCACGCAGCATTTCCCAGCAAGGCAGAGGAGGAAGAGCTGGACTCAGGAAAAGAGAAGCTGGCGGTGGGAGAGCCGGCAAGCACAGCAGCTACACCAGCCCCAGTGACAAGTACAGCAGCTACACCAGCCCCAGTGACAAGTACAGCAGCATCGTTTGAGAGTTCTGGAGGTTTTGAATGGCCTTTGAGTATCCTTGGGACCTGCCTGCTGATTGTGATGGGGATCAGCATGTTGACACACACACAGACTGTGTTCTACCCACAACCATTTTGTCTGATCTCAAAAGTTAAGCAGAGTGAGGTTTGGGTCTTGTCTGGGGTTAGACGACAATACAGGGGGACCAAGAGGTTTTCCCCAAGGCTGCACAGCCAGGAGTGGCAGGGTGTGTGTGACAGTATGGGCAACTATGTAGTCCACTGGGCCCCTCCAGTGCTTTGGAAGCGTCGGAGATGGAAGGCAGCTGTATGGAGTCCCCAGCAACAAGCTGCAGAAACTGCTTAAGGGGACAGTGAATTATTTTGAGCCTGGTGGGCCCAATGCACTTCAGGCCAGCAGAGCAGAGATGCAACATAGATATGGACTCATGATCGAGGGGTGGACTTAGCAATGGACACTATTGCCCAGGTTATTCACGAGTGTGAACACTGCACACAGTCTCTCCTGCTCTGGAAGACTGTTACAAGAGATGGAGCCTGACATCATGGACCAGATGGACTCAGCAGCTTTATAGGGACTGGTCCATGCACTAAGATAAGAGTGCACTGAGATAAGAGTGACGGTATATTGAAAATGTGGGATCTGAGCATGACGTGAATGGTATGGAATAAGGGGTGGATAATGTCCTGGGTTCAGCAGTAGCAGTCATTTTTCCCCTTCTTGGTAGCTGGTGCAGTGCAATGTTTTGACTTTCAGCTCGGGAACGGAGCTGATAACAAGCGATGTTTTGGTTTGGCCAAGGACTTTGTGAGCCTCATGCTCTGCCAGGGAGGAGGGGAAGCCGGGAGGAAGCAGAGACAGGACACCTGACCCAAACTGACCAAAGAAGTATTCCATACCACAGCACGTCATGCCCAGGATGTAACTGGGAGTTAGCCGGAAGGGCTGGGAGACTGAGGGGTTGGAGGAGGTATCGGTCGGAGCTTGGTCGGGCTGGGGGGGCGAGTTATCGGTTGGCTGGTGGTGAGATGATGTATTCTCTTCCCTTGTTATTTCCTTTATCATTATTATCATTGGTGGTAGCAGCAGTGATTTGTGTTATACCTTAGTTACTAAACTGTTCTTATCTCAACCCGTGGGAGTTGCATTCTTTTCGATTCTCCTCTCCGTCCCTCCGGGAGCAGGGGGAGGGCAAGAAAGGGGGGGAAGTGAGTGAACGAATTACCTGACTGGGTTTAAACCACGACAGGTAAGTATTGCAGATTCTGGAACCGGCTCACAAAAGTTTGGGTTTTAGTTTCGGGCTGGTTTATTTTTTTTTAAGAAATGTTCTCATCAAAATAGCTGATAAGTACAATATATCAAGCTTTACAAGAGCTGTCAAGAAAATAAACACTTATATTTCCTTAGACTGGTCTAACAGTACTTATTTTCCAGGTCCCATTGCAAGTTACACTTGCACTGGTTCAGCTGCTTTTTTCTCCCCAGATACTGAAATACAGAGAAAGAAGCAGTCTACTACCAACTCTTTTTTTTTTTCTTTACATAACTGAGGCTATAATTCTCCAGATTATTACTTAAGTGATCCAAATTTAAAATTATTTTTTTAAATATTTATTTTAGCATGATGATAAATCATCACAATACAGACTAAAACCAACATGATCAGGATTATCACTGTCACACTTACTTGTAATCTTCATTTGCTGCAGTAAAAATGAATGCTTCCATAGGGTTCCAACACAGTGTATTTGTCCTCATGTTCAAGATAACCTGAAAGATGTTTACACATTACTACCTTGTTAGAGGCAGTAAAATACTTGCTATAGTTCAAAACGTCCTATACCACTGGAGACCACTACTTTACAGAATTGCACCAGAAGAATAGTGACATGACAGAGTATTTTCTTCTCATGTTAGAATTGGAACTCAAGAACTTCCTGTCCCTCATAACATGCTCACTTGTGCTACTACTAAATTCTCTGTAAGTAATTTTAAATGTGGTCAACACGTAAAATGGAACTTCTGAAAAATTTCACTTTTCCATCATATTTATAGGATCCTTTAGGTAAGTAATTTATAAATACACCTAATTAAATTCTTATCTCAAGAGACAGTCATTAATTGACAATACAAACCCGCACTTGCAAAGCTATTGCAACATTGTGATATCCTCCACTTACTACTGTCACTTCATTATCTTTGAAACTGCAGTTCATGAATTCTCCAGGACAGTCGCCATTCCTTGTTCAAGTGCCATGCAATGACGTAGAAGTTACCATGTTGTAATCTACTCACCATTATCACTGTGCTAGTAATTTAAAATAGTGTTCTGGGGTGTATCAGATCAGCGTCACTGCCAACAGTACGTAACATACTAGTAGGATACTGAGTGTATATTCACAAACTAGAATACTGTTCTTCAAGGAGAAAATTGTTAAAGATAGTTCTGGGGTTCCTAACTACTGAACTTGATCAAGGTTAATATGAATTACTGACTTCTTGTTTTAAATAAAGACATGACTTTCTATTAAAGAAAAATCTTCATGTCACTGGTAAATTCCACATATAAATACGATTTTGATTCCACTGCAAAGGATTTCTGAATGTTTTTACTGTGTGCACACAGAGGGGTTTACCTCCATGTAAAAGCAGAACACCTGTTCAAAAGCAGAGTAAGATTATCCAGTGGTAGAAAGGAAATACCTTAAAAGTTACTTTGTTTCCTTCTGGCAAGGAGGAGAAAAAAAATAATTAAAAAAAAAAAAAATCACACACAGACAGAATGCAATACAGGAACATGAAGTTCTTACTGTGAAACTGCTGTCAGGTCAGGCACTTTATCAAGAATTACAAGTCAGCCTGACAGCCCATTTGAATGCAGAAAAAGGCCCTAACTCCGTTTGGTTTAAATCCCAGCAACTCAGTTAAAAGACTCAATATTAGACAATGAAAACTCAGAGAACTCACAGTTCAGAGCTTCCCTTTCTCTACCACCATAGAATCAACTAGGTTGAAAAAGACTTTTAAGATCATTAAGTCCAACCATTACTCCAGGACTGCCAAGACCATCATTAAACCACTAACAGACTACTTTCATATTCAGTATGCTTATTAGTGCCATCAGCTTCTGTTAAAAAGATTACCTTCTTTAATGGAGTTGATTTTCTCATATCATATAGCACAATATTTCTGTCAGAAGCACAGCTCCCCAAAAGGTATGTCTAAAAAGCAAACAAACAAAACCAGTGTGTCTTCTAAACACTTATAAAATATGGGTAATAGCTTACACTAGATACCTAGCAGTTCCACAAAGCTGGTAGTGAAATAGTTCCTTTTTCAGTCAAGGAAATATACTCATCATTCTTTCTGTGCACCTAATTATTCAGCACAGTTTAAATAGCTGCCCCTGTAAGATTCAGAATCTACCCAGTCCTCTCTACTTCAAAATTAACAGGCAATTTCCTCATAAACACTTCATCTATGAACACAGCCCAGCAAAGAGATATACAGGAACTACTGTAGTAAATCAAATGCAATGGTTTTGCCACAGAGAAGGATGAGAGCTCCACAGCCACATAACCGCTACAAGGTATGGAGTCTGTATTGCTGTGGGCAAAATGGAGACCACCCTACTTTTCTTCCTCCTCTCTCCCTCTAACAGAGACAAAAGATAAAAAGATGAAACGACATGTTACTACATTCCAAAACAATATAGCCATAAAAAAAAAGTATACACCCCCTAAATATTACATTAAAAGATATATAAAAATCTAAATTTGGAAAAGGCTGTCAAAGATGGTTGTAACAGAGTTTAGATCTTACACTGATCAAGAAAAATACTAATTTCCAACATATAACAGAAACATTACCTCAATGGGATTGAATTTTACACTACTTATGCTATCAAAACCCCATGTCAGAGAGCACATGGGACTTGTCCTTTGCTCATCCCAAATGTCCACTTGCTGGCCACAGGTGGCAAAAACAGCTTCCTTCCAGTGGTGATCAATTCCTGTATACACTGTCTTTAAAAGACAAAAGTAATTGTACACTTACATATGCAAGTATGTTCTTTTATACAAAAAAGATCAAATCATCACATATCAAGTCTGCCTGGTTTTATTCATTTATATTACTGAAAACCAAGTCACCACTGCTACCAGATATACTCTTGCTCAAAAGACTAGCTTTCTTTGTACTCACTTAATATGCATGCATGCAATTCTTGTTAATTTAAATGCAGTCAGCACTAGAAGCCCATTTACAAAGACCTGGTTGACTTTAAAGCAAATGGAAATTCTAAGGGTACTATAAACTTTCAATGGGACCTGAACAGATTCCACAGATGTTACAATAATTGAAGAGTTTCAAACTATTTACAACAAGCATTTAATATTCTTAAAATAAGTGTATAATAAAGAGTGCTGAAGTACATATTTTTAATCTGGTTTTGTCAAAAAAGAAAGATATAAAGTTGAAATTTTGTATCGAATGGCTGCAAGGTATTGCCACGAAAACAAACCTATGTAATGCAGACTAAGCACTGACAACAGGTCTGAAGAGGAGATTCAGAAAGATCTGACCAATTCACATGAAAGGGATGGCTAGCAGAGACTGAGCTAAGCACTCTCTGATGGCATTTGAGATATTCTTTTCTGCTTATATGTAAAATAAATGTAATAGAAACTTTAAAAGTGCCTTTATAGAATTTCATGCCATCATCTTACAACTCATTATGATAACAGGTGATACCAAACTCTCTCCTCAAAAAGCTAGATAAGAATTGGTTCAAACAATTCAAAAGAAGAGATGGGGGGGCAATATAATCAGAACTTCAGTTTACTACCTTTCCAAGAATTGTATGAATAGGCTCCTCTTCTCCATATTCTGGGCTCTCCATTTTCCACTGCTTCACTGTTTTGTCATCGCCAACCTGGAAACATTGCAGAAAGCATGTACATTTTTACATATTGTTTATTTTATAATATGTATTTTGCAATTAAGTACAGGCAGTCTTTCAAAAGACAGTAATCTACGGTATACACAGAAGCACTCTCTCTTGCCCATTCACTGTTCCCTTTTATACCTCCAAGTTGAAGATTAGTTCTTGTTATACGATTTCCCTAGAAACTGAGAAGGCGCATGTACACCAGCTGGCTGAAATGAGGTTAACATTCTTCCTAGCAGCCCATACAGCTCTGTGCTTTGGATTTGTGGCTAAAACAGTGCTGATACAGCACTAATCATGGCTACTGCTGAACACTGCTTCCAGGGTGTCAAGGCATTTCCTTCCCTCAGTCTGTCAGCCATTATCACTGCCTCACCATCAAGAAATAGGCTAGGTGTGGCTAACAGACTGGGAGGGGACGCAGATATGACAGCTAACCTAAAGCAGCCAAAGGAGTATTCCAGACCATGAACATCATGCTCAGCAATAAAAACTGGGGTAGTGGAAGAAGAAAGGGAGGTAGGGGCTGGCTTTCAAAGTGGCTGCTGTTCAGAGACTGTCTGCTTGTGAAACGGCGCCTTAAACTGCAAATTATCTTCTGGATGTCATTTTGATGAGCATGTAAACAATTAAAAGGCACTTTCCACCTCAGTTGTTCCAGTTGCCTCTTCCTAATGCCATGGAATGTCTTGCACTATGCCAGCATAAGTTTTTGCATGGCTGTGCAGTGACCTGGATCAGGCAAACTCGCCAAGTAAAAACGTTAGTTTTACAAGTTTAACTTCCTTTCCTGACAGCGCTGCTATTGTTCCTTCTTTCCCTCTCAACTTTCAAGCAGGGGGATTGTCAAAAGGGAATTCTAATTTGGAGTCACTTAGAATTTTTTGCTGCAACTTCCCTTACATCCTAACTTCTGTCCTCGTGATCCGATATATACTTCAGAAAAGATAAATATATAGTAGTGAAAATAGCTCTTCTATGCCCAGGTCAAAAGAAGCAAAACCTCAGGACACTCTAGTCTTCAAAAGCAATTCTTTTTATTGTATCATCTTGTAATTACTTTTAATGCAAACAGGAAGACATACTATTTCCAGATGTTTTACATGCAAGTGAATCATTGATATAAGTTAATAAAGTTTAATTAACCTGGGACCATCTTGACTCAATCAGCTTATCTTTAATCATAGCATACGTAAATGGTTACTTTTTTATGTCTTTCAATGAACATAATTTATGTCCTACTTTAATGACAGCTGCTTTACTCAAGACTTGATTATATGACCATCCATTAGCAATTTTCTGGTATTTATCCCTTCCATAGTCTTGAATAAGACCCATATCACAGCATCAACAAAAATTTCATGAAAAATGGAACTGTCAGGTTCTCAGAAAAATTTAATAAATATATTCATACAGTATTTAAATATATGGCAGAGAGTAAGTTGCTCACTGGAAACCAGATGGTGAAAAGGCACTCTGTACTGCCACACTGTACTAAGGAGACACATTATACTTACAGTAAAGAATGATGTACCACAGAAACGAGCACATATGCCTCGAACAAAGCCTTCATGGGCTTGTATAGTACGAATACACTGTCGTTTGGTCAGGTTCCAAATTTTAACCTGTTAAAAACAGAAAAATATTCTGTTGTTACTTATGTTTTCTGCAGCCCACAGTTGCAACTCACAATTCAAGTACAAGAGGTCACACATGTTGTCATGAAATGGCATGGCTGGCTTGGACACCAGAGTGATTTTATAGTGTTAAAACTGCCTAATTATTCCCTTCTTGAAAAAATAAAAAATAAAAAAATAAAAATTTACAAGTGCAGCTCTTTCCTTCTTATCCCCTCCAAAGCTCCACACTTGCGTATTTTTGTATTTCTTTCTGAAAAATAGCAGACATAATTTTAGCAAAGAATATCTCTTAAGAGAAGGGCACTTTGCAACTAACAGAGTGCTTCCAGTCCAGCAGCTGTGCTACCTTTTATACAGACGCCCACCTCCCACAGAGGTTTCTGTTTTAAAGCATTTGGGCCCATTTAAAAAATAGGAAGAAACGGAGGACAGTTTTTCTATTTGTATGTATTTATAGTACCCAGTACTTTACTCACTCTTATCAGTGGATAAGAAATCTGGCCAACATTTCACATAAATTTATTCTCCTCTTCTCTGAAAAGATTAATCTCCCTTACACTCCTGCATGACATACACACCTTCCATAAAAAGCACAAAGCAACCAGCTACCCAGAAGACACCTTTAAAATATACAAGTACTATGAAATGAACAATAGAAGCGTGAGAGAGGACAGAGAAGACAGAAGACAGGCAATTTCTCTCTGCAACTGACTCCATCTGAAGTGCCCTTGCTTGCTATTTGTAATATTTATGTAAAATAATCAAACACAGAATTAGCATTTTCTAGACAATATGATAAATTATTATTCCAAAAAATTTTTGGTTGTGTGCCCCTTTCCCCTTAGCTCATCTGACTTCATACAATCTTCTTAATCTGCAGCAGTTTAACTTCTCCAAGGAAAAGAGCATCACCTGGGCAGCAAAAAGCAGTCACTACGGACTGTAAATATTGACATACACTGCTCCATCGTGAGGAGATAGGTGTCACACCCTCTGCTCACAGGTGGAGAACTGAAAGCCGCTGCCTTTATGCACTGGTAGATTACAACCTACGGTTTGAGAAACACTTCCCCAAACTGGGTAAGCTGCACCTTCTGAGAGAAGATACGGTATCTTGCCAAACAAAGACACAAAAGGTAAGCATGGGGCATTTGGAAACAACAAAATTAAACAAAGGCACAAGAAAGGAAAAAAAAAATAAAGGAGGAAAGGTAACTTGCTTGCTGTTGTTTGTACTGCAGCTTACCTCTCCATCACAAGCTCCAGACAGCACTGTAGACAAACTCTTTGGATGTTTGGCCATGCAGTTAATTCCATCTCTGTGGCCATCAAGTGAGCCAAGAAAGGGTTTTGCAAACACACGTTCTAGCTTTGTTGCATTCAGAGCTCTTACGTACTCTCGTGGAACCTCAAAAGGGTGCAATGCAGGATCATAGTTTCTTGGAACTGCAGTAAAGTAATACACACATTAGAAACCCATGGTATGTAGTGTAATTCAAGGTAAGCTGAATTCAGAAGTTCTCTTCAATTTTCCTGCCATGGAGAATTTTCTGTCACACTGAGATTATTGCTGTTACTACCATTTTGAAACTGATCTGTGGGATCATTAGTATGATCGCTTCACAAGCTCTAAGTTAATGAAGCCTGAAACTGTTTTATGTCCTTTGCAAGGGAAGCTATGAATGTAAACAACAAACTGGAACCTGCAGATATCTTGCAACTATTATCAATAAAAGCCAAAAAAACCAGAACATCCAGCCACAAGGCAAAATAAATGAACCCCGTAACACCAACCTCCTACTGCTAAACTCCAACATACACAGTACACTAGGACACAACTACATGGAGACACACAAAGAGAGGCATCCTAGCGGTCTTCATGTTCGATCACCTGCAAGCCAGCCCTGGCTCTGAAATGAGGCTCATTAGTTTCATGAGCTTGATCCTCTGCTAATGCTATCTGGTTTCCCAGGCAGGAGTGTTTAGATGACACAAGCTTCGAGCAAGGGTCTCTCTGCATCTGCCTGCAAGGCACCTTATAATAAATAAAGACAGCACATTTTGACACTGCTTCTGGGTTTTGTCTCTTTCATTCTGTTTCATGCAAAAAGACTGAAAAATCAGCAGAGCAACTGACAACAGATTGCTCATTAAGAACTGATGCTTAGTCGAGTCTGCCAATTTCCAAAGACTATTTGATGCATATCAGAACCTCTAAAATCTCTGAAGAAAGAGACAAAAGTTGGGTATCACTTCTGCAACATGACAGAATTTAACAGCTTACATACAAATCCCACTTGGAAAACTACAATATATTCAGCTACCATCCCAGTGGGTAACTTCAATAGTGTTTTTCCATGTTATATATATATATATAACCACAATTAAATAACTAGAACAAATTATTTGAGATGCTGCTTTGCACCTACCTCTAACTGAATCTAATAATGAAGTGCGGGCAATTTAAAATAACACAGGTCTATTATCCTACCCAAACCAGTTTGATTTAGTGCATTAAATATGCCAAGTTTTAGTCCTGCTCTTTCTGACAAAGGGCCGTTTCACAAACTCTGTCATCAGGTAGAAGATAAACTTCAGTTCTATAATATTACAGAGGTGAAACTGCCACGACTGTGTAGGATAAGATCTGTGGAGGATGAGCAGGACAGAGTGTGGAAAGCCCTCATTCACCTCATTGTTCAGCCTGGAGAAGAGAAGGCTGCATGGAGACTTCATAGCAGCCTTCCAGTATCTGAAGGGGGCCTACAAATACGCCAAAGAGGGACTCTTCATCAGGGACTGTAGCAATTGCAGAAAGGGCAATAGGTTCAGACTTAAAACAGGGAAGAAACAGGTTAGATATAAGGAAGAAATTCTTCACCGTGAGAGTGGTGAAGCACTGGAACAGGTTGCCCAGGGAAGTTGTGGCTGCCCCATCCCTGACAGTATTCATAGGCCAAGCTGGACAGCCCTTTGAGCAACCTGGTCTAGTGGAAGATATCCCTACCCGTGGTAGGGAGGTTGCAACTGGATGAGCTTTAAGGTCCCTTCCAACCTGAACTATTCTATAATCTCAGCTACCAGGCTACAGCTGCTGCATCTAAAGTAAGTACAAAACCTATGCGATTTTTGCCAGGTTTAACGAGGGACACACAAGAAGCAGGACGAGATGTATCAGGAGAAAACCGGCAATAAGCGCATAAGACTGCTAAGGGTGGCCCAGGTAACGCTAAGAGCAACCTCAGCGTGCCGGAGCCGTGGCTACCCACCTCCCCCGACCCCGCGCTGTCGGCATTCCCAGGACGCGCTCTTGCCGCCCGTGCTCTCAGCCGGACCCCGCGGCACGGCGCGGCACGGCACGGCACGGCACCACCGCATGGAGCCCACACCCCGCCTCGCGCCCCAGGTCCCCGCCACCGCCTCACGGCCCCTCGCGCATGCGCACGGCCACCGTCACCGCCTCCGCCGCCGACCGGCCGATTCCGGCAGCGGCTGGAGTGAGGGGAGCCCGCACCCCGCCAGGGGCTGGCAGCTGCCTGGCACTCCCTCCCGGGGGCAGCTCAGCGGCAAAGGTGGGGCCGGCGGATGCCTGAGCGCCTTCCCTCTCTCCCCACGCCATGCCGGTTGGGCGGCAGGCGAGTAGGCCGAGCCCCGCTCCAGGAGCCGCGCCGCTCACCGCGCTGCAGATCCAGCTTCGTCTCACGGACGTAGTCGTCGGGGTTACGGCTCAGCACCTTAACCCTCATCCTGCCTGCGCGCACCGGGCCGCACTGCCGGTAACCAGCACCCCCCCCGTGCACACCCACGTGACCGGATGCGCCAGGCGAGCTGTTCTCGCGCGGCGCCGGAACCGGCTGTCGGCGTGCGGCGGGAGGGAGCCCCGCCCCCTGCCGCGCTCCTCCGTCGCGGCCGCCTTCGCCGCCGTCGGCGATGAGCGCTCCGGGGTCCGCGTGCTCCGTGCGCGAGCCGGTAGCGGCCCCGCCGCCCGCGCCGTCCCTGCTCCGCCACGTGCAGCTGGAGAACCTGGCGGCGGGGCTCAGCGGCGGCGTCCTCTCCACCCTCGTGCTGCACCCCCTGGACCTCGTTAAGATCCGCTTCGCAGGTGAGGCCCGGCTGGGCTGCGCGGGCTGCGGGTCCCGCACTGCCGCAGGCGGGGTCAGGCAGGGACAGCCCGCGAGCCCGGCTCTCCCCGGGCACGCACCGCGCTTTGTGCCACGAACGCGTACATCTCGCCAGGCTCGCCGGTTCCAAGCCAGCGATCCACCGGCTTGTTTCTGAGCGGTTGTACAGCCGATGAGCCCGTACGCCTCTGCCCAGACCGTGTGCGGCGGCATGAGGGGCCGGCGCTGGCAGTTAGCCCCACGGCTTGAGTAAACAGGCCGTAAGGCGAAGGGATGTTCTGTGGTTCTCTGCCCCCTTCCCCCCGCCCCACGTCCAAAAATTAATTTTCTTGTCATTTCTAGGAACTGTAAAATATGTGCTGTGGTGCTTCAGAGCCTGTTTTCAGGCAGACCTGGCTAGGCTTCTCCCTCTCTTTCATGACCATCGGTGCCATAGGACACAGCAAGATTGGCTCTTTTTAACTGGCAGATGGTTTCAAGCCAACGTTCAAAGTTCACCTTTATGCCAACGGCTCTCAGTGTTCGAAGCATAACAATAGTGTGATAATAATCTTAGATGTTAACAGTAGAGGTATTGTTTTACAGAAAACTCCCAAGTGCTTTGGTGTTCTGCAGAGAAACGTGTCAGCTTCTCCCTAGTGATTTTACTGTTAACATGAGAAACGTGGTGCCCTTTTGTCATGTTTTCTTTTATAGAGGTTAAAACATTTTGCTGTATCTTTGGATCGTTATTTTAAGTAAATCCATGGTTGCTTTAGATCTCAAAAATAATGAGCTATCACAGAGAAGTTTTAGAAAATGTAGAAGCATTATATTTCCAAACAGGCTTTTTGCAAAATTTGAGTTGAACACTTACCTTGCATACTCTACTGTGAGTACGTCCTGGGCCCGTGTTATGAAGAGTGTAGCCAGCAGCTTTCTCTCTGTCGCACACCTGTAAGACTGTGTCTGAAGTACTGTGTCTGGTTTGGGGCTCACCAGCACATGGAAGGCATTGACTGGCATGATTCCAGTGAAGGCCATCAGGCGGCAGGACACATGACAGGAGGATAGGCTGATGGATCAGGATCGGTTCATCCTCATGAAGAGAAGGCTGAGGGGAAACATTATTGTGGCATGTGACTGTGTGATTGGGGGACACAGGTGAAGCCAGATTCTTCTTGGAGGGTAGGGCAAGAAGGAACAGGCATTAGTGGGTACCTGGGAAATTCCAGTTACTTTAGGAAAGAGGATTTTTACTGTGAGAGTGGTCTAGTTCTGGTAGAGGTTACCCAGAGAAACTGTAATTTCTTCAGTCCTGGAAACATTCAGGAACCAACTGGACATACAACTAGCAACCTGATCTATTGACATCTGTGTTGAGCAGGGGAGTGGATTAGGTGACCTCTGGAGGTCTGTTGCTCATTTGGTTTGAAAATAATAATTCTTGTGTTTTGTCTTCAAACCAGGAAGTAAGAGCTGATGCCAGAATATAAAGTAAAAGTAAGTAAAAAAAAAAGGAAGTAAAAAGCTGATAGCAACATTGTGAAGGTTCTAGTAGCATCATTGACAGACAGACTTTAATTCACATCTCTGATTTCCCATGTTGTTTAATGTGTTTATATATCTGACCTAATGGCAACATGGTTAAAAAAAAAAGCCAAAGATCGTTGGGAAGGGTCTAGCAGGGCTCATTCAGGAGGGAGAAAGGAGGCATTTGTCTTTTAATTTTGGGTGATTGTCAGGGTGCTGAGGCCTTGTCACACTGTGCTCAGAAAAAAACATTTTGTCTTTAGTCCTGAAGTCTGTTGCAACATACAGGACTGTACACCAGGTTTAAAGGAGAATTAATAGTAAATGTGGCACTGAACAGAAAACAGAAATTCACGATTACAAGGATTAATCTTGTTTGGGACACAAAAACTGTCCTGAGTGTGAAACTTTGAGATTAATTTTCAGTAAAACTGCAATCTATCCTTATATCTTTAAAGAACGAAAGCTGCTGTTATGTTGGCATCATAGTCATTTAGGTCAGACAAGAGCTGTGGAGTTCACTGCTTCCTCAGGTAAGGTCTGTATAGGCCGGATTGGTCAGTCTTGTGTGCTGGAGTTTTGAGTAGCTCCAAAGATACCTCTTCAGGCAACTTGTTTCAGTATTTGATTATTCTCATGGAGAAAATGTTCTGATTGGAATTCCCTCTGGTCCAGCTTGTCATCTCCCCATGTGCCATATCACACGTCATCAGTAATCAACTTACTCTTTTGCTGCTACAGTAGGAGCAGTAGCAGTTAACACTCTTAAATTGTGTGAACATCTCTGTTCTGAGTTCTAAAAGAAATCTGACAAACAAGAATTTGCCTGGTTTTATCTTTTTGACAGTGATATTTTCTGAATGTTCGGATAACCAGCTGTTTGGTTATTGGGTGGGAGAATGTATTGGTTTGGTGTTTTTCCGCAAATCCATCCAATGAGAATAGAAGGAGAACACAGGAAGTTTTGCTGGAAATAATCTTTGAGTGTTCTGGTTGTCCTGGGTTCAGCAGTAGCAGTCATGTTTCTCCTTCGTGGTAGCTGGTGCAGTGCTGTGTTTTGACTTCCAGTGTCGGTGATACCGATGTTTTCGATTGCTCTCAGCCCGGCACCACTGACTGGGAGTGAGTGAACAAGCGGTCTGGCTAGGGTTTAAACCACGACACTGGTAAAATCTGACTTCGGAATCAGTAAGGCATGACGCATTGAAAATGCTCAGAAAACATTTTAAAGGGGAAGAATGAATTCAAAAAGTGTTATTTGGGGCTTGTCTAAAGTCCTTATAGAAATGTGTTGTCAAAGATCCCCCACGTACCACTTGAAGTGTGATGTAAAATTGCTGGAGTGCTAAAAAGAAGAGACAAACAACTTCAATGCTGCTGCTCACCAAAAGTGCATAGCAGTGCATTTATTTAGCATTATCAGACTAATAGGAAATTTCCTTTCCTTTTGCAGGGCTTAAAAGGTCTTCTTCATCTTTGTGTTTCTTTTTGCTTGCTTTTTTTTTTTTTTTTTTTACCTTAAGTGTAGACTTACAAAGTTGTAAACCTCAACTCTTGCACATTTTTAAAAGGATAATTTTAAAATACAGCTGATCAGTTAGATTTCATGTTCATCTGCAGCTTGCTTTGTAGTCTTTGTACTGTGGAACCTTTTACACAGCTGAGCTTCAGACTTCCTGAAATGTTTTTTTTTTAATGTAATTGCTTTCTTTCATAGTGAACGATGGATTGGAGCTGAGGCCAAAATACAATGGGATTCTGCACTGTATGACCACTGTCTGGAAGCATGAAGGACTACGAGGCTTATATCAAGGGGTAACACCAAACATGTTGGGAGCAGGGGCTTCCTGGGGACTTTACTTTTTCTTGTAAGTAGAACTGTAAAATGTGTCATTTCCTGTGCAGTTTGTAATGTTCAGATATACACTGCATCTTCTTTGGGGGATGTAAAAATGTGCTACGTGGCTTATAAACTTGTAATTCTTTTTGTAAGTCCATGTCTTTTACCCTTAATTATGTCTTGCTGGTTTAGAATTTAAGTAATTTGAGTCAGAGACCTGATTTTGACTTACTTTGACTTACTTTGTCAAGTACAGTGCATTCCCTTTATGCTGTGAAAATGCTAAGGAACTTGAGAGATGGTGATGTCAGTCATGAAGAATCCTCTAAAAGTGCCAGTACACTGTGCTTAAAACCTCACAAAAAATAAAAGCCTAACCTGACATGTTAAGAATTGGAGAACATGATCGGGCTAAATGTTTAACTAATTTTTAATATTTTTAGAGATAGTTGGGTCTCTCATTGTTTCTGTGAATTGTTGGGCTTTGCTTATAAACCCATTTGTTAATACTCATTTTTCTCTGTTTTATTAGCTGTGCAACTGTGATGTGATTTACTGCTGACCTTTATTAATTGGAATACTTTAGGGAACAATTAGTTGGTATGCTTATAAAACCTTGTCAGTAGTTACTGTTTATTTCGGTCCTCAAGCTTTGCTGTATGCTCCTACTGTGGTTGAGCTCCTGTTAACAATATTTCAATCCACAAAGAGTGGAAACTGGATCAAGAGAAGAAAGCTCAGTGTATTTCTAAGTTAGAAGACAGATACCTGTCACTGTTGCTCTCAATAAAAAGGAGGCTATCTAATTGGGTTTTTTTAGAAGTCTTGAGATCCAACAGATACTTCAATATGTGTCCCACTGATACTAAAAGTAGTAATACTTTATCAATTTAGGTTATGTATTATCATAGTTCACTTTAAAAAGCTGACTGCTCAGAGATCAATTGATCAACTAAACAAATACCATTTACTTACATATTTGTTTTCAAAGGCTGTGTACCATCTAATGTTTTCCATTATCTTAAGTGAGATGTTTTGCTGTTTGTAGGTTAAGTGATGTAAATTTGTTTTCACTATTACTAAAATATATTTTACATTTCCCAGTTACAATGCCATCAAAGCTTACAAGAAGGAAGGGAAGCTGGAAAGTCTTAGTGCAACTGAACACCTAGTGTCAGCTGCAGAGGCTGGTGAGTTTAAATGCAGAGAAGACTAGTGTTTGCTTCTAGCTCCCTGCCTTTGTGTGTCAGTGCTGCTTTTTATTACAGGTGGCAAATGTAAAGTGTTCAAGTCCAAATGCAGTCAGCTATTGTCTGTAAATAAATTAATGATGTCTAAGATGAATAGATGGATCACTGTGGTCTCTTCAGTTTTGCTTAGAAGCAGCAGTTGTCAAAATCCTTTTTGACCTTGTTTTCATTGTATATAAGTGTTTTCCATACTTAATAATATATTGAATCCCAAAATATAACTGTAGCTGCTATTGGCGTGTTAACTCATTAAATGTTTAACACTTAGACCTGGAAAAGAGAAGGCCAATTGAAGTTAATAGAATAACTGAATTGCTCTTTACCTGTGGTCCAAGTTTCCTTAGAAACTAAACATCTAAAATAAAAATACAACTTACATCTGCAAGACTTTTAATATGTTCTTGTCCATGCTACTGTGTTGTATTTAATCTAGGCAATTATGAAGACTTTATTAGGGTGTTATGTTGAAATATAAGGCATGCTGTTTAATGTAAAAAACAGTAATTTACAGCTGTATTTTCAATAACCTGTAAAGCTGTAGCAGGTTGCCTGTATAAACCTACCAGTATGATTAAGCAAATTTCTCATGACTGAAGTGTCCATTAAATTTTGAACCATTGTATACCTGAAGAATAACCTGAATAATCAGGAGTACATTACGAAGTTACTTAGGTTTCTATCTACTACAGTCTCACTACTGAAACAGTGAGGCAAAAAAGGGAATGTGCTAGGAATATGCAAAAAGCTGTATGCTCTGCAGGAGGAGTAGGTTGGGCTTGATTGTGAGCTTTGAAGGCAGAGAGAGGGAACAATGGTGGGCATAAATGTCATCTTTTTTAAGTAGTGCGAGTACTCTTGTAAGATAAGTAACTTTGTCATTGTAGAAGCCTGTGTTATATTGCACTGAACAAACTTGGACAAGCTTTGGAGTTAGCATACCAACCACTCTAACTTCTGTCCTCAGGAGCCATGACTCTCTGCATTACCAACCCAATATGGGTAACAAAGACACGACTTGTGCTACAATATAATGCTGGTGTCGACCCATCAAAACGACAATACAGAGGAATGTTTGATGCTCTTATAAAGATATACAAGGTGGAAGGCGTACGTGGCTTATACAAGGTAATACAGTTTAAGAAAAATTCCAGGATTGGCTGGCACAAGTCAGTAGTGTGGTGAGACTTGTAAATACTCATCTACAGAAAAAATGCAAGTCATTTCTGTATTAGCTCACTTTTATTCTGTGAGTCTTCTTTCCCACTGAAGAGCTGCAGCAAAAAGGCTTAAACAGAAGAAAAGCTATTATACTGTTGAAATGTAGGAAATCACTGAAGAATAGAGTATAAGGTTTATGACTAAGCCATCTTCTATTGGATGATAATGCTAAAATGAGAGTAAACCACAAGCTGCTTTTTAATTTTTTTGAGCCTTCCGGTAATTATTATTAGGATAAGGAGGGCAGCAGTAGCGTAATATGTCTTGTTGCTAGTGCTTTTTTCCATTTCATCCCTTATCTCTGGCTTTCTGACATCTTGTGGAACATAACATATGACTAAAGCAGTTGCTAATTTTTAATTCCACAATGGATGGTTTCACAACTGCACATTTGCCCTCTAGTTATTGAGGTCTGTAATCTGTCATCCCTAGATCCATAAAATTTTCAGACTTCTAAATATGGTCTGTGTATGTGGGGGGGGGTTATTCCCTTTAATTTAGAGAAACAGATGGCAACTGGATTTGGACTTTTTGCCTCCTCTTTCCTTCAGGCCATGACATCAAGACATTAGAAGGTGTGAAGAAACCTGTTTTAGTCCAATCAGGCTCTCTTGCAAGTAATGTTATAGAACAAGAACACTATCTCTTGGGAATTGTCCTCATTACTGAATATTAGCTTATTTTATTTGCAGTAAAAATTAGAATCATTCCTATGCTGAAAGACTACTATGCCACATACTAGGGAATGCCAAATTCTGACACCAGAAGCAAGGCACCTCGCTTATTCCTAAATTGAAATTGTCAGGATTTCTGATTTGCCTGGCTGGGTTTCTGCTCTGTTCCCTGTTGATAAATGTGTTTTTCTTGCATCTGTTAGGCTTTAAGATGTCCTTCCATTGAGTTACTTTTCAGATTATTCATGCATGTAGTATGTGTTGCCTTTGGCACTAGACCCTTCTTTGTAGTGTAGATCTGTAAGTGAGGAATTAAAGCACATACTTCCTTTGAAAGAGCAAATTACTTGCTTAAATCTGCAGAGCAGGTGACCTACATAGGTCCTGAGTGACCTATGTATCTGTGCACACTGTGCAACTTTGACTTGACATCAGGATTTTCTCAACCTTGTCTATGCTAGGGAAATTGGTACCTCTTTGGGTGACTCTTTGACTTGCACATGCCTTAGACTTCCTCCATTTTCTGGTTTTGGGGGAGTTTTTATTTTTTCTCTTTCTTGCTTTATTTGAAATATGACAGCTGAAGTTTTGTTAATTTCTGTAAATTGCAGCAGCTGTAGTCCACATGAATGTCTTCTTTTTCCTCATAATCTTAATTTCAGGTAGAGTTCCTTATAGCAAATAAGGAAATCTCAGAGAACACCACCACAAGTTGGAAATAAAATCTGAAAGTAGTTTCTTCTGCTGAATTTGAGATTAGAATGGTATTTCTTTCCAAACATCTCCATATCTTGCTCTCTGTTGTACAAGGTGCTGTTACTGGTCTGAGAAATTCCTTTAAGTCCTTTGGGGCACAAGACTTTTAATGTCAGGATGCACTGATTTTTCTAGCAGGGATCAAAGCTGTCTGTATTAGCTCTGTGGGTATTATTCATTCATTAAACTATAGTTCATCTAAAGCTGTGTTCCTCAATAACTTGTTTGTGAACTTGGCCTGGTTTTGAAAAGGCAGGAGCCTTTCCTTCACCGATTATCCCAGTAATCTAGTCAGTGATCTTCCCCACCATCATTAGCCTTTGTCCTTTGGTCTTCATCCCCTAGATGACTGGGGACAGAGCTGCTCTGCTGCATACCAGGCTAAGAAAAAAACAGCTTGGGTTATGAAATTTGAACACACCTATAGATCTCTTGGAGATCTGATCTCTAAAAATCACTTTGCCATGAAGTTAAATGTCATCTGCATTGAGTGCTGTATGGTTCTTTTCAAGTGTAAGGCAGGAGAGACCAAATGTAAAATAATCTTAAGATTGTAGGAAATGGCACTTTAAGAAAAAACATAAAAATTTCTGAACTGTTGAAAAACTGTTAGATGCCTAGTCTGGAGTGACTGACTACTAAAACATCAGTCAAGAATGCAGCTAACATTCTTCCTGCCCTCCATGTTTCTGTATTTGTATTTTAAGTTTCAGCGAAGATGTAGAAGCAGCAATTAGGAATACAGCTACTGTAAAATAAACAGGAAATGCAGAAAAATATGGAGATTAAAAAATCAATACTGCAAGTAACAATACAGTATGCTAACAACAACAGAATCCTAGCATTAATGCGTGCTTGTTACCAAATGAAATTGGATGCTTTTGTACTGTCATTTCACCTTTGGTAGGCAAGATCCAGTACTCTGACAATAAAGTATTTTTTCCAGTCCATGATTACCTAAGGCACTTAGCTCTATTTATTTTGCTTATGCTATTTTTCTTCTTCTTGCAAATGTGTAGCTTGTAAGCTAAGTGACTTTCTATGTGTACTTGTATCCAGCAAAATCCACTGAGATTTGGCCATCTTGATTTTAACTTTACTTCCAGATTCTACAGATAGATAGAAGCACAAGTGACTTTCACATAAAAGATGGTAGAATTTTGCACCATGAAGGAATTGAGATACATATGGAGATAATGACGTAATTCCAGTGTCTCTCTGCACAAGTTGTCAGAGCAGGCCATTCTGATACCACTGGTCTTTAGTATTGTCTTCATTTGGGTTCTCAGCATGCCAAACAGATTACAAAGACAATCTGCTGCATTCTGTCAACACATATAGCAGAGGCTGCTCTGGTGTGAGCACTCTCCAACCATTCAGGCAGCAATGTGGGTACCACATGGCCAAATGAAGCTTGTTCTCTACTTTACCAAGCATAGGCTTTCCAGTGTGTACATATGCCTATGTTCCTTTTCCTTGTGAATGGCAACCTTAGAAACACTAACCATAGGACATTTCTCTCTTGTCCTGAATCTTCTACGCTTAGAGCTGTTCAAGCTACCTTTAAAACACAGGTTTTTTTCCCCACTGTCTACTGTTCAGAACTATATGCTTTACCATCTAAATTTCTAATTATAAAATTAATTCTGTCTATTGTTTTAATCCTCCAAAAGAGAATTCAAGCAGGACTTCTTTGAGCAACCACTGATCCTATCAAGCCCTCATGGCAAAAATCTTCTGAAGATATGTTTTGAATATTAAAGCAAAAAAATAACAAGTACATAAAGGTAAATTATTTTAAAATTTACCTTTACAGTCATATTTCAAATGAAAAGTAAACATAAAATTCTGTCAATTTTTGTGGCAATTAAGGTTTTTGTGTAAAATTGTAAGAATGAGAAAGCAGAATAGGAGGATATTTCTAAAACTTCCTAAGCCAACATATTTCATTTACTGTGAGGAAAGCAGTTTTGCTTTGAAACATTTTTCCATAAGAACACATTTTTTTTTTTACATGTGTTTTTTAATATTGGCCCAACATTAAAAGTCCTTCAGTCTCTGAAAGCTTTCCCCATCAGCACAAGACTTAGAGTGTGCTGGTACTCATTTAGCAAGTATCATCAGTAGATGCTTGAGGACTCTTGGGTGCAAATTATCCAGATCTGCTGGCTTAAATTTAAAGAGTTTAGCGCTCTTAAATGTTTTTTAACATTCTTTTGTTGTTGGGGAGAATATTACCTCATTCTCCTGTGATATAAATACATCATTCTAATTCTTTCCAAGTAAAGAGCAGTTACTTTGTCTTTGAACGGTTTTGTTGTCTATTCACAGGCAAAAGTTTGTGAAGATTTTCCTTGCTATTATGTAAATTTCATACTGGTCCTTGTTCTGCTGACCAAAATAATTTTTTCTTTGATACTTCTGATAATTTTGGGGTGGGTTTTTTTGTTCCTCCTCTTCTGTTTTTATGTTACTGGTTAATTTTTTAATCCAGGATTTCTGAAAAACAAAGTTGTCCTTTTCCCTCTGTTGTGGCCCTTTGTCTTCAGACTTCACAGAAATTCTATGATTATGCTCACAGTTGACAAAACGTAACTGTTTGGTTTAATTCCATTTGTTCTCGTTTGGGGAAGTAGGTTTTTTTTTTCCAACAACTTTAGCCAGCCCTTAATGCATTTCATCCTTTCATGGTCACTGATTATTAATTCACTGTCATTGTTTTCTACTGTGAGAAGAAAATCCCTTCCTGAATGTGTATAACATTGGAAACTTAAAGAGAGCTAATTTCTGAAGTGGCAGAAGGTCTGTGCAATTTTTATGCCTGCTGTGGTTTTAGGATTTGGGTTTTTTTTCCTGTAAGTTAGGAGTTTATGGAATAATATATCATTTTGTCCTGTTGCACTGTTCCAGTGGACTTCTACCAGGATCCCTTCTCTTTTTCTTCTCCTTTTCTAGGTTTTTAGTAGTATATTGATAAATCTTTATTCAACATGCTGGGCTTCCTGTTTAGTCTAATACAGAGTTTTGTTTCTGAACACATCTTTTAATTCCTCTGTTGTATCTGAATGGATCATGGCAAATAAGATAAAACTATTCAATGCCAGTATTTAGGGGAAAATTCTGTTTCTTTGAGTCCTTTTACCCACATTTTGATCACTTACTCCATTGTAATCATCCCTTTGCAACAGTTTTCAGGAAGCTTTTGGCTCCCTTAAGTCATTTCTAGCCAAGATAATTAATTCCCCATTTATTTGTATTTTTCCAGTGTAAGTGACCAACTCTTCAAAAAAAGAATTAGTACTTGTCAGAACTCATGCAGCTGTCTTACTCATTTCAACTGAGCTAATCCTTCTCCAAAAGAAACCTTCTGTTTCTTGTAGAGGCGCTTCAGAAAATACCTGCTTTTACCCTTCATTTCAACTTTTTTGAAAGAAAAGATTTCTGAATACTTTCGTATTATACTCTTACTGTCCATTACTGCCTGTTACAAATGGGGAACATTTCACAGACCGCTTTGCAAAACCCTGCTGGGATGTTTTGGGATGTACTCTGAGCAGGGTGAGGAATGCACTCAAACTGATCTGAATCTTAGATTTGTTTCTTTAATGTAAGTCATCCATAAGTCCTTGTGTGCCCTTGAACTTTTCGCTTTGTCTGTGTGTGCAAGACATTGAGGTGCTGGAGCAGCTGAGGGAACTGAGGTCATTTAGCATTGGAGGAAAGGAGGCTCTGGGGACCTTCTCGATTTCTACAGCTACCTGACAGGAGGTTGTAGTGAAGTGGGTGTCAGCCTCTTCTCCCAAGTAACAAGAGGAGATGGCCTCAAGTTGCACCAGGGGATGTTTAGATTAGGTATTAGGAAAAATTTCTTCACCAAAAAGGTTGTCAAGCATTTGAACAGGCTGTGCAGGGAAGAAGGTTAAGTGACCATCCCTCAACATATTTAAAAGGCGTGTACATCAAGGGCCTAGGGACATGGTTTGGTGGTAGACTTGGCAGCATTATGTTTACAGTTGGACTCAATGATGTTAAAGGTCTCTTTCAACCCAAATGATTCTATACATACACACATTTTTAGTATGGAAATGTTTGTGTATCATGCACGTTTGTATACACACACACATGTGCATATCTGTCTCCAGGACTTGACCAAGAATTCTTTTGTACCTCCACTGCTGATGGCCCTCCTCACTCGGATGCCAGCTTCCATCATTGCCTTAACAGTCTTGGGTGGGAACTGAACAGCTCAGTGTCAGTCCTGGAAAGGGGCAGGCACTGAGCAGCGCATTTGCAAGACTGCAGCTTGATTAATATTCTTAGAATCCTGATCCATGTTGCCATCTTTTTAAAACCTGTGCTTGTGTTCTATGAGAAGGAGTCCCTTAGCCACTTGTTTTAGCTTACTCATTAGGTGTTTTTAGCTTGTATGTCATTTGGAGAAAAGTACATTTATTACACTTGTGTCTGATGTCTGCCTTTAAGAATATCAACACAGAATCAGCTCTGAGTCATGCTGCACAATGATGAGTTGTGCAGTCACAATTTGTAAAATAATGGAGGACATACTTACGTGTGTAAACTGAGCTTTGTCAAGTTGTATAGTTCTTGGGAATTGCTGTTTAGCCTTGTTTTATTCCTTTTTCTAGGGATTTGTGCCTGGTCTGTTTGGAACTTCACATGGAGCACTTCAGTTCATGGCATATGAGGATTTGAAACTGAGATACAACAAGTACAGAAACAGAGTGTCAGACACAAAATTGGTACAGTTCTTGAGAATGTGTTGTGGCATGTGAATAAGCATAAATTTATTCCATTTCTCGAGGTTGTAGTGCAGCCAACTGTACAAAGTATTGCTGCTTTAACTGGAATGTAGAACACAGAAGGAAATAATACTTTTTCACCTTTTGGGATCAAGGAACTGATTAGTGCTCTTTTCCTATAGGGACGCCAACTTCTTATTTTGGCAAGTGTTCTGAGAATTGTAGAGAGAGGAATGGGATTTTTTGTCTTACTTTGTGAAACCATAGATGGTGGTCTTAAATGCTTAGAAAACTGGTCAGGTGCAAGTTGGGCAAAAGTAGTTGGGGGAAAATGTAGAGTATTGTTTAGTTCAAAATTTAAAAATCTAAGTAGATTTGGGGAAATTCAGTAATTTAAACCATACTTAAAGTAAGCGTGGTAATTTTTATTGCTTTTAGAACACTGTGGAGTACATAATGATGGCAGCTGTATCCAAAATTTTTGCTGTGTCAGCAACATATCCCTATCAGGTTGTGCGAGCTCGTCTTCAAGATCAACATAATACGTATTCTGGTGTGTTTGACGTGATCCGCAGGACATGGAGGTAGGCATGCAGAATTAAAAGCTTATGACTTAGAAAGTGAGTCTTACAGGATCAGAGCTATGTTTACTGGTTTCCATGCCAACTTGCAGAATCAGTGCAGTTCTGAGCAAACAAAATATTAGCTGTACAAAGCCATTTTGTGCAAGTTGCCACTAACAGCAATAATCTAAGGACAAGGGAGGAGATAGGAGAGGGTCAGTGGTAGGCTTCTGTTGTTTATTCTGTCTCCCTTCTCTCTTCCTCACCAAATTTCACTTACAAGTTAAAAGATAACATTGAGTTGGCTGTGTTGGGGCTCTTAAACAGTATGACAGCAGTGTTGTACTGTTGGGAGTTGTGGGTAATCCAGATTCCTGGCAGGAGGAAATGAAAACTAGCCACAGCTGTTTTATATGGATGTCCCTGGGTTACTGTGGGGCCTGACTGCATTTGTAGTCTAGTCCTAGCTTCTGGTAGGACCTTTAGAGAACCCCTACCTCACATCTGTGTATATCTTCTCATAAACCTTCTTCCCTCATCTCCACAGGGCATGTGAGAGTTTTCACACAGAGCTCTGTAGTTACTAAGGTTGGCCATCTGTGCAGTATGCAGCCAGTGATGGGTTAAGATTTTATATATTATGGCTCTGTAAACAGTATAGGAAGAAATTACTCTGAAATTGTTACTCTTACCTGAAGTAGTTCTCTCGGAGTGCAAGTAAAAAATTCCAGGCTTTGTTTTATGTCTGATTTCAATTAAATACATTAATTAAAACTAAATGTTTTTCTTTGTCTTTAAAGGAAAGAAGGAATTCATGGATTTTACAAAGGAATTATCCCCAATGTGATCAGAGTGACTCCTGCCTGCTGCATTACCTTTGTTGTTTATGAAAATGTGTCTGGTTTTTTACTTGGTTTTAGGAAAGAAAGTAGTTAAAGGTAGGAGCTTGTGTTCATAAGGAATCTATCCTTTATTTTTTGTATTTATGGTCTGGGAGAGATTTAGTTCAGCAGACATCTTTGACACCATGAATTGATCTAGTATTTTGAGGAAAGAACATGGAGATAGTAAAACCCTGCCAACATCTCTTCTGCTGAATGTTCTTGTATTGCTGCTGCCTTCTCTGAATCAGCTCTGCCTGCTTGAAACAGATGTCTCTGCAACTGTGAAATAATAGCACTGTGACTGGGTGAAGGCAACTGTGCAGCAATTCAGTTCATCCTGGCCTGCCTGGAATAATAGACTGATGTGTTTTGACAGGTCTTAACTGTTGGTCAGATTCCGCTCCTACAGAGGTGGATAACTTCATATAAAAGCAACTCTGGGGTCTGGCAGAACTTTCTTAAATCTTTATCTGAGTTTCATGAAGAAACAAGCAAGGTCTTCTGAATCCACCTCTGTGTTTTGTCAGATTTTAGGATGTAGAGTGCTCCAGATTCCATTGCTCATCCAACACAAAAAACACTGCCTTGGTGGGGTGCAGTTTGGAAACTCAGAATTGTTTTGTAAAACAGCTGTCCAATCTCGGGTTTGAATAACTGCCAGTCTGATGAAACCCAGTTCTGGTCTCATACCAGACAGACTTGCATTGTGGTTTTTGGCTTGCTTTTAGCACCAGACCAAAGTATATGTTGTGTGCATCGCTGGCCACTTACTGAATTCATTTTCTCTCTCGTCCCTGCCTGCCCTCTCTCTCAACCCCACCCTGTGACATTCTGTCTGTTACTGATACATCTGACCAAATATTAGTAAGTAAAGGTGTATTTGAATGTAGGTTTACGTTTCAAACAGTTTTGTTTTCTAGTAATCCCATAGTGATGCAGTTTTCAAACCAGTGTTGCAACAAACATGAACATGCTTATTTTCAATAATATTTTCTGGGAAAAGGAAATACTCTTAAGTGGTCAAAAAAATACTGTGCACAGGACTTAAAAAATGATCATTAATGTCTTCTGATTTAGTCTAAGGAAAAGGACTGTAAGTATATATTGATTGCTAATTTAACGATAAACTAAATTACAGTACATCTCAGTAAATTTGTATAATAATGATATTTATTGGTATGCCAATAATTGCTGTCAACGATATGAATTTTTTTGAGATTTGGGTTTGTTTTATTTTTTAGTTCTTCTTTAAGAAGATGCATTACTGGCCATTACTAACAACTGCCTCTGCTGTTAGTAGGAAGTTATTAAGAAGTATGTAGAAAGCATCACTTAACTAAGGAGGAAGTAAGTTAGCAAAAATCATTCCATGGGGTGGGGGAAATAATCAGTTTCATAAGGAGTGAAGGATACTATCTCGCAAAACACCTGAATACAGAGAAGTTCCCTGTTTAACAGAAAGCTGGCCTAAAGTAGAAACAAGCATTTTCATAAAAAAAGCAACTTATTAGGGATTTGGTTTCAGTTTTAAGTTAAAATCTTACAATTTTTTTTTTAATTAAGATCAATATTTTTAGTCTTAATTCAGCAATCCACTTGCTTGTTCCTCTTGATCCTATTGCCACATACCATATTTTGTGTATACTTACTAATAATTTATACTTTCTGTTCCACAATCCCATTCCCTCTACTGATACAGTTAATAATCTCATCTGAAAAGGGCATGTGGCCATTAAGGCTGGCTTTGGTTTCTTATTATGAAAGTTTCCATGTGTATTTAGCTGAGGATCAAATTTACTGGAAGTTTAGCATGAAAATTACTGTGTAGATCCCTAACAGCTACTAACTTCTTCTGCCTTTGGAGGGTTTTTACTTGGTTTTGTTTGTTTTCTAGTACCCAGAACGAATAACCAAGTTAACTCTGCCACTGAGAATCCAAGAAGTGTTGTGAAGACATATGAATAAAAGTTGTGCACTTACTAGCCTGAGTTAGTGTACTCGTGCTCCAGGATAAATGCAAAGACAGGCTACAAGCATGTACACAATCAGTTACTGTATGTTAACTGACATTCTCTAAATTCACACCATAGCTTAGGTCATAGTAACTTGTTTGTGTCCAGATACCTTAAAACCCATCCTCCAAGCCAATGAAAACAGTACAGTTCTGCAGATACAAAATACCAGCTGTATAATTTGCTAGTTTACAGCAGGATCACACATAAGCTTGCAGCTGGGAAAGCCCAAATGCTCTCCTAGCCACAGCTGTGTTCCTCTAGCATTCTTCACAAAAGCTGCAGACAAGAGCTACCAATTTGAGATGTATGGGGAAAATTTTATAACCTGCTCAGAAAAAAGCTGAGATTTAATTCTAAATAGTTGAAATAAATTAATTATCTCGGATTAAATGTTTCTTCCTTTTCATTTCTAGGAAGACTGTACATTTCTGCATGTTATACATGCTGTATCTTGTTGGGGTTTTTTTTATTTCGTTAATGTAAAGTTGATTTTGTAATGTAAACATGACTGTTGTTGTTTCCCTCAAGAATCTTTAAAATTAAAAAAAAAAAAAAAAACAAAAGCCAAATAGTTCATCACTCATTGCATTTGGAAGAAAACACTTAAAGCACCGAAGCTAGTGGTGTGCTGCCATGATGAATTGTCATTTGTCGAGGCTGGAGACGGCAGTCAAATAGCTGTGACATAATTCTTTCACTTTACCAATACACTTTTTGAAAGCCAAGGCATTTCAACCTGTCTTATTTCTGTATCCTCCAAACTATTTAATATGTCTAGCTTTTACTTAACACCAAAGTGATTGTACAAATCTGAAAGGCTAAATCTATGAGAATTATTTTACTGGAACAATTAAGTTTTGTAACTGTAAAGTTACAAAACCAATAATAAGACCAATAATAGATGCTTATACTGAAATTCAGTCTATTGACAAGCAAAAGAGGGAAGGAGAGCTTACATAGTCTATTTTTACTTAAGTCGTTCAGAACAAGGTATTTAACACCACATCATCTAGGTCACAGTTAAGTCACTGGGAGTTAGTTGAGAGACTTAAAAGAGTGTAACAGCAGAGCATCCTATTTTGTAGTCAGGTTTACCAGGAGTAGAGGTTACATATGTTTTCTGAAGGCTAAAGCCAAGATCTGGGTTTACTTTCATAGAACTTTCTATGAAGTCTTCTAAGAAAATTATGTTTCATAACATCATGTAAACACTTTAAACTTTAATAGTCAATAAAATAGCTTGGATCGTCTATTTGTAAAAGGTCTTGTTTATTTGATATAAAAAAGTTACAGTTAACTCTTAAAATGGTGGTGGTATATTTTCATACATCAAATAAGGAATTTAAAAAGTTAATGAACTTGGGTTTGATATTTATATTCTAAAATGACTGTTGTAAAAAGCCTCTGCAATGTGCAAAACAAGGCTAGACAAAGACTACAGATGCAAGAATTTGGTGCCTTCCACTCAAATACTTGCATACAACTCCACAGAAATAAATTCTGAAGAAAATAGTATAAGAGTTTGGTGCCTTCCACTCAAATACTTGCATGCAACTCCACAGAAATAAATTCTGAGGAAAATGGTACAAAATAAAGGGGGGGGGGGGGGAGAGAAACTATAAAAAGGGAGGGAAAGTTATTTTGGTAGTTCTTCAATGATAATGCGGGAGACCGAGTTCCATCCAGTAGAAGCATCTCCCCGTGGATAATCTGAGCAAGTCCCGACCCAGATGGCAATGTCCACCAAACCAGCACTGATCCCTTCACACAGACCTTCCACTGGTTAAAGACAAAAATCAGGTTACCTCAGCAGACACAACTACTTTGTATTTCATCACTGAAGAGCGACACCAGCACTTGAGAGCAGCAGTGCATTGCAAGCTCATAATGTTTAGTTAAACCTGAAGAAAACACTTTTCAAAATAAAAACTATTAATTAGAGATGTGGCAGCATAGGTTAGAGTCATGCATTGCCTTTATCCATGCTGCTTCTTGATGTCTGTTGCAGTACCTGCAGCAGATCACAACCCAGAGGATGGTTACATGGGAGGTACTCCTGCATCTGTAAACATCCAAATTCACTACCTGGTAGCTGGGATATGGCTTCAATCCCACCTAGCCATGCTTTTAGCAATGATGGGGAGGAGGAATAGGCACACAGCCATAACTGGCTTCCACAGCTGAGCCCTGCAAAGGTGATTGCCACCCTGTAACCTTTCCCACTCTTAATTCATTGCTTCTGTGTAAAGTTCCACTTCTGCTGGCCCTTTGTTTTTTTCCCCCACTAGCACCACTAGTTGGAGGTAGGTTAATGAAGACAGGTGGGTCCTATGCCTTAATGAAGAAACCCTATCATAACTCTAGATGTTAGATTTCACACAGTCATGAAATAGTACAGGGAGGAAAATGGAGAAAGTATAGACAATGTTAGTCCCCTGTTCCTAGTGTCACCTTTTATGTTGAAGTAACTTCACTAATTTGCCTTTTGCTTAGCAACTGAGTAATAGTTCCCAGCTATTTCACTTTGGAGGTACATTTGTGCCCACCTGAAATTATAATAGAAATTCCAGGAGGGATAACTCTTATGCACAGATAATGTGCAAGTATCAGTGTGACATGACACTGTTCTTGGCAAAAAGGATGTTTCTCCACATGCTAAAACAGCACAGAATGTCTTTGTAGCAGAGATCAGTAGAACTGTCTGGACAGAAATCTCTTCTATTTCTAAATTGCAGGATGTAAGTGCCATGAAAAATACCACAGTAATGAAGTACCACTTAATAAATAATTCTTAGATTGTTGATAGTCACCTGTGAGACAGCAGAGTAGGAGTAACAAGTGTTACCTGGCCACTCTTCCTCCTCCTTTCAGTCTTGAGTTTATAAGGCAGACTGTACCCTGGGCACTTGGTAACTAGATTTGCTACTGGCTTCTCCATCTCTGTTCATGCAGTCTCAGCATACATACCTGAAGAAGTTCGGTGTATATTAATAGTAGAATTCAGCTCCGGGCTTCCTTGATCTAAATAGATTATGGCTTCAATAGGAAGTGGCCCAGCACATTCTGCTCCATTAAAAGTGAAGTACCAGCGCTGACAACAGGCACTTTTGCATTTTAGCCGAAGCGATCCACTGAAGAGAACACGGAGAGCACTGTTGGAGCGCATCTTTGTAAATGTGCATTCCTGAGAGGAGAAAAAAATGCTTTGGCAGCAGCCTCTGAGTTTTAACCTATTTATTTTCTATATATTTAGCAAATAGATTTAGGAATATGTTTATTTCAGAATGGTTTCACTATTCTCTTTAGTCCCTTCCCTCTAGAAAAAATAGAACAAAAGAAGAAAATGGTACAGCCTGGCAAATATTGTATGGTGCAAAGATGCAAATCAGAAGCAGCACCTCATAGATGGTAATGGAGAACGGGGATTATGGAAATTCTTATTTTATTTAGATAGTATCTGCTGTTAAAATAGTAACCTAGTTACATTTCGGGGTTCCTGTAAAGGGGTGTGACCTGTCTGAAGGCTGTATGCAAGTCCTTGCATGACAGGACAGTACAATTTCTGTCTCTGTTACCAGAAATCTTGGATTCAACAGTTACAGGATCTATGAGAGGCTTAAACTCTGCTAAAAGCTCCGCAACTGAAAAAGAAACGTTTTCAGGTATTACCTGTCTTCAAAATGCTGGATATCAGGGGATGGGGGAAGCTAGGGACAGTTCTGCAAGTACATGGCAATAAGAAATGTTAACTCAGAAAGGTTGATTCTCACTAAGCACAGCAATAGCAGTTAAATTTCTCCAACCAATCTGGGCATTGCTTCATAACTGTGATTGATTACCCCTCCTATGGAGACAGGCTGAGAGAGCTGGGCTTGTTCAGCCTGGAGAAGAGAAGGCTCCAGGGAGACCTCATAGCAGCTTTCCACTACCTAGAGGGGTCTACAAGAAATCTGGAGAGGGACTTTTTACAAGGGCATGAAGTGATAAGACAAAGGGGAATGGCTTTAAACTGACAGAGGGGAGACTTAGATTAAACAACAGGAAGAAATTCTTCACTGTGAGGCTGGTGAGACAGTGGAACAGGATGCCCAGAGAAGCTGTGGCTGCCCCATCCCTGGCAGTTCAAGGCCAGGTTGGATGGGGCTTTGAGCAACCTGGTCTAGTGGAAGGTGCCTCTGCCCATGGCAGGCGGTTGGAACTGGATGATGTTTAAGGTCCTTTCCAACCCAAACCATTCTATGACTATGAAAAAGGTTCCAAGGAGAAACCTGTATGATTGGTGCTACCCAGCTCACAGAGTCAGATTGAGATTGCTGTGGTTGGTGTAGCGCAGCATCCGTGGCAAAGCTAACTTACTGCTATCTTTCCAAGATCGATGCCATAGTTAAGTGCACTCCATGAACACTGCTTGAAGTTGGGCGTCCAGGACTCCTCGATGCTCTCGCGCATGCACTCTCCCTTCTCCCCCTTCAGCCCATCCCGTCCTGGGATCCCAGGTGTCCCGGGGATCCCATTGGCTCCTGGATTTCCATCCCGTCCAGGAACACCACTGGGGCCTTGCAGGCACACGCCATTGTACTGAAACACAGAACAGATCTTGCTACTTCCATCCCTCACTCAGAGGCTAACCAAGTTAAACACAAACAAACACAAACGCCCTGCTGTGACAGGTGATGTCTGGATCACCAAGAAGATGCTTCCATAGAGGAAGAAAAGGAAAAATAAAAGTTCAAAGATAAGCAATGTCAGCAGAATTTGCTATAAATTAAGATGCTGATTATTTTATGAAAAGATGCATAAATCCTAGAATGAAAATGTGGCTGTGTCCAAAGGATTAAAACCTGCTGGAAAACCTCAGAAGATCCAAAATGTTTCAATACAGAAACAAAAAAAAAAGGTTGGATGTTAACAGTTACTTTCTCCTACCCCAACATTGCTTGTGTCACTGTCTCAGCCAATAGGCTTCCACTACTATTTTTCCCTTTCTTTAAAAAAATGAAAACAAAAAACCAAACAGTGAATGAAACTTTGCAGGGAGCAGAGCTTAGTGCCGGTTTCTTTCTGTTACCCCTTCTTTGCAACAGAATCACATCGCAACAGTCATGCCCCGTAAGTCAGACTCCAGAGCGCACACAGTAAGTCAGCGTTGATGTGGATGTGGGAAGCTGCACCCAGGAACAACCCCAAACTCAGGATCCTCATTCATAGCAGTGGGAAGGCACACCTGGTAGGGTTAGCATACTATCATTCTCCCTCATCACAGTATTGGGAAAGGTCAAACACTACTCTCCAAAACCACAGTTAACACACGTTGCCTTTGTACCTTACGAGATTTGGGGTTGCCCTCCTTGGAGAGAAGGTTTGTGCAGCCCAGAGCTCCTTCCCCAGCAGCCTGAGCGCTGGATGCTAGGGGACACCCACGTGTGGAGCTGGGGGAGCAAAAAAGAAACAGAGCAGGAACCTGCAAGGGCTGGTGACGGCTGGGCTTTCACTTTAAATGCTCTTGCCCATCTGCTGACTGACTGCTTCATCTCATCCCAAGGCCACACAGATAGCTACATTCTGCTCTTGATCTTTCTCACACCTCTTTCTCTTCATCCGTTTTGAACCACCTAAGCCCTACCTGTTTCAAAAAGAAATGACCATGCAAATTATTCTCCTTCCTGCAAACCATACCACTACTGCACCATGGGAGCTGTAAGCTACAGCCCCTGCTCTCTGTCCTTTGTCAGGCTGGTCAACTTTAGTCTTCCGGGGTTGTTCCTTCTCCAGGGCTTTGGTGCAAAAAGCAGCATGGTCATCACAGGCTCGGCTGGAGGCACTCTACGAATACAACGAGTGAGTGTATGAAGAGGTCTAGTAAGCAGAAGTTGACTGAGAGTTGGACTAATCTATGCTGGCATTCTCTTAGTACCTTCACCAAAGAAAACACTGTTGACAAATGGCAGTGGGATGCTATAATCAAGAAGGACACATCGAGAAGTTGTTAGCTGGAGAGAGCAGGCTGCTGGGCAAAGCACACACTGACTCAGAGACCATGTGAATAATGCAAAGACATTTTTGTTTCACACAGCGCTGGTTATCTGCTTTTGCTGCTCTTTTTCCATTGGATGCTGCTTGTAACAGTGACTGGCTCTGGCTTTTCACATGTGATTACTCACCACAGAAATGCCAAGGATGTGGAAACCGGGGAGAGCTGGGGGGAGATGAGCTCAGGACTCATGATTTTTGTATGCTGTAAATGCATAAAACATCTTTTAAAATGTCCACTGAAGGCAGCATCCCCTCTGGGGCATACCTTTATGCTGCCTTGAAGGGCTTTAGCTTTGCTGCTTACTCTGTGGCACCCAAAAGCATGGAGCAAGAGGAATGGAGGATCCTAAACCACTGCTCCAACAAAATCTCCATGTGTGCAGACCCCTTATTCTCTGTGCAATAAAATTTCCACAATTAAAGCGAAAGGGTAATAAGGTGGTGTGAAAGTGAAGGAGCTTTGTACCAGTGATGCTTCCAGCACATCACTTCAAGGGATCTCTCTGGAGATGACAGCAGAAATGGCCCTGTCACTGCTTTTCTATAGGAGGTGAACAGCAGTCCAACCACTCACAGAAATAGCTTCACATCTGCTTTCTGCATTCCAAAGACTGGAAAATCTCCCTCTTCTATCCCTGAGACAGGATAGTCCCTGTGCATCCAGGTTTCTAGTTGCAATGGAACGGCAGTCCCAGGTGCCAAACGGGATAATGCATCAACACCACACCAAGGCAACGGGGGGTCAGTAAGCGTGCAGATACGGGTTTCACAGTAACTAACAGCTACTAAAGAGGAGTACTCTGATTTCTCTCTTTGTCGTTTATTATCCACTGGCCCTTTGGGATCTGAACAGCATCACCACCGAGGTGCAGGGACTGCGGGTTCCAGCGGAGCCCACGCCAGCTTCAGCCGCAGGCCCTGAAAACACGAAGGGAAGACCCGCACCCACCCGCCGCAAACCAGCGGTTTCTATCAAAGCCCGTCCAACCCTTCCTCACAGCACAACCAGGGCGTGATAACAAACAACCCAAGACAGATCCCAGGCAGCGCCGGGACCCGGCGGTGCCCGGCCCGCAGCGGCAGACAGGTTTTCCGAAAACCTCTGATTTTTCCTTTTTTTTCCCCAACCTTTCCAATGAAAGGGCCGAGCGGCTCCCACTCCCCAGCCCCCGCCGCCCCGACCCCGCCGCTCTCACCATGTCCACCACCTCCCGCTGCCGCAGCGCCTTCTGCTTCCCCTTGGGGTTCTCCGAGCCGCCGGGCGGCGGGGCGGCCGCCAGCAGCAGCGCCAGCAGCAGCAGCACCGGGGCGGCGACACACGGGGCGCGGGGCATGGTGCGGGCCGGGGCCGCGGCGCTGGGGCCGGAGGCTGCGGCGCAGAAGCCGTGCCCGCCGCTCCGAGCGGCAGCGCGGGGATCAATGAGCCTTTCAGAGCGCGGAGCCCCAGCTCCCTCCCCGGGGAGGCCCGGAATTTCCATCCTGTAACCGAGCGGGAACGTCCAGTGCCAGCCCCCCGCAGCCATTGGCAAAGCGGCCGGAGGGCTCCCGCCCCTCGGACCGGCCCCACGGATCTCGGCCCGGGCGGCGCCGGCAGCCCCGGACGGGCCCTCCCGAGCACCGGGAAGCCTCGTCCCGGCCTGGGGAACTCTCCCTGCGGCGGGGAACACCTTTCCCCCAAGAAATCCCGTGAGGGCCCGCAGGAGTTCCACCGTGAGGGGAAGCGGTGGTAAAACAGCAGCAGCTGGATAGAAATCACTGGGTTTGATTTAGCAGAAGTGCCAGTTAAGGGCACAAAATCCTTCCAAACAGCAGCAGCGGAATTCGAGCTTTTATAGAAGAGCTTGGTGTTGCCTGAGTGAGCATTGTCAATTTAGTCACCCAAGAAAAAACTCAGTTTAATAACCCAAGTCCCGTTTTGTTTTCATTTAAAGTAATACTGTATTTTTCATCATACCAGAAATGAAAGCACTATGAAATAAAGGATGCTGTATGTCCTTAAGCATTAAATAGAGAAACAGTAAATATTCAAAAGATAACTTCTGTATGCTGCAGTCTTCCTGGGGTTTGTAGAGGTAGAGTTTCCAGAAGGGGGAGATTAGCTTTCGTACATTTTCCTTCTCAAGTATTTAACAAAAACGCACATTTCGCCTCTAGGAATGCATGTTACAGGACGTTGAGCCATTTACGATGGACTGGACTTTTATTTACACTAAACCTCCTCTGTGGCTCTGCCTGCAGTTAGTTACTTCTGTGCCTTACACCGCTTCTGCCTTTCTACCCCCTTCACATCTGTACTGGCTGAAAACGGCAGTGAGGTGAGATTTGCACCACAGGTCATGCTGCTGGCATCAGCCCTGGCACGCACTGTCCTGGGCACTGGGACGGACGCCAGCCTCATGGCTGAGGTGGGGGCTCCTGCCCTGTGAGGGTGGCAGCCATACACTGACAGCTGGTGAAGGATTCCTAAACCAGTTGGGAAAACTCATGGAATGTTGCAAATTCTTAATTACAGCAATTGCTTCTGTGACAGCTTCAATGAGCATCACGCACAAGCAGAGGCTTCACGGTGCAGCAGTTTGGGTCTGGACTAGAAGCTTTTAATCCCAAATGGATGGCTTTGCCAGGGGAAGCAAACTGGGGAGAGCTGTGAAAGAAGCACTTCGTAAATACTGGTGGGAAATCTGCTTTGAGCTCTGGTGAGTGCACTGGGCAGTTCCCAGTGCTCATTTGACTTGCAATGTGCATCGCCATCTGGGAAACAGAACTGTCAACATCCTCCTTAGCCTGCTTCAGTCCAAGCAAGCCTTGCCATCTGTAGGCTTGTGCTCTGTGGGCTTTTGATATATTTAAAAGCTTCTGAGGACAGCAACTGTTGTTGAATGCTGGTGAAATACTCCACTCAGAACTACTGATTTACTTTACCTTAACTATTTCCCAGACAAAAGGAGCTATTGTAATAAACTTGTAATAAACCAGGATCCATATTACATCAACTAGTGATTCCTTTATCTTACCCATACTGCTATATGATACATAACTTATATGTGGCTTTACAAACACGTCAGCAAGGATGATGAGGTACATACATCCACCATTCAAATGTCACTAAAATCTTCCACTCGGCCAGTCTGCTGCTGCAGGCTCATACAAAGGCGGGCTCATACAAAGTCAGTGTGGCACCATCAGAGCAACGTGCACAGCAGATGCTTGCACCACGAGGCTGGTGCCATGACTGCTGTCTCTCCACTGCAGCTTGAGCTGTTGTCCCCCTCACACAGCCTCTCAGCATCCCCAAGCACAAGCCTGGAGAGGAGGATGTGCTCAGACACACATGTATTTCCATTCATCTCAGCTATAAAATGTTTTAATTCAAGAGGCTGCCCTCTGGGTAACTGAGTGTCTCCACCTTTCTTGTGAAAACTCTTCTTGTTATGAATACTATTTGTTACAGTACTGGTTTGAATTCAACCAGTAAATAACTGCTATTCATTCACTGGTCTTCACTAAGTGAAGCAACTACAGTAGGAAAGATTAGGAGCATTTTATCATGGGATCCCATTGCAGAGCCTGGGAATGAAAGACCAGGGCTATATTCCAAATCTGGTAGAAAAGACCAAGATCCAGTAGAACAGACCCAGATCTGATTGAAGAGTCTCCTTATATAGTGAGGAGAAGCTTTAACCACTTGGAAATAGATTCTTCTCAGATGGGAACTATATTACTTGTGGCTTTTCACAACCAGGAAAACCAGACTTAGGTGTCTAAATATTACAGAAGGTTCAAGGCTGAGGATCCTGAGCCAAATGAGGCCCAGTAAGGTAAGTGCCTAGACCAGGACATTTCCTCTGCCTTTAACTCTTACTGTATTATACAGTTCCCTGTCCTGGCAGTGTCTGGGGATTTTGGCTTTGATTGGCAGGCATACCTAGGCATTGCATTGGGGAGCACGTGCATGCCGCAGGGCAAGAAGCAGAGTGCTCAGGGTTAGCACTGCAGCGCTCAGCATCACAACATTCAGGATCCTTGCTGATCTACCTTTTGTGGTTTTAATTATGGAGTTCATAGTTTAGCTCTTATTTACTTTATTACTGGTATTTTAGAGTGAGTTGTAAGTTGGTGTAAAAGGCTGGGATCAGAGAAGACTGCTGAATTTTCTGGAATGGCTCTTTGCAGCCTGCCTGTCTGACCCAGCAGACAAAGAGCCATCTGTGCTGCTGTAGAAGAAAACCAAAATAAGAGCTCTCAGGGAAATTTATTACAGGTTTAAGAAACAGATTTCATTTTCTCCCACAAAAAACTTTGGAACTGCATAAAAATCAATGGGATTGTGGCTTTGATCCCTTCTACCACTTTTTAATTCAAATATATTCATATGTGTTCATATTCATTAATGTTTTAAAATAATCCAAAACTTCTCTCCTTTTATTTTGCTACTTTACTAGCACAGATATAAACCTATTTAAAAAAATCTTCCAGAAGCTTCTACACAGAGTGACAAACGTGGCCTTGTAGTCACAGAAGAGCTTTGTGGTTACATGCTAACATTTGAATCTCAAAAACAAGTTTGGGGTAAATTTTTTAGTGGATTATAACACTCCTTGATGTCCTGTTTCTGCCTTTAGGAAAAGCTTTAAAGTATTAAGCCATATCAATACTCCGCTTGCTGAGAGTCTGTACCTCCAGGTGACAGCCAAGTCATGCTAATAGTTCCCTAAGCAAGCCATGAAAGAAAAAGTTGGTCATCTAAATGACAGCCAGAAAGGGCAGGCAGAGGTTAGAGGATAATAATGGAGTTTGTGGAAGACAAGGTACCTGTCAGGAAGGCATATGCTAACCCTTCAGAGGTTTCTTTGCAGAAGAAGATTCCTGTGTCCATACCCAGGAGGACAGCATATTCTGAGTGTGAGAGAAAAATACTGCAGTGAAGTGTTAATTCCTTACTTCTGAGTAAGCACAGGGTAGTTCTTAATGTTACCACAAGAAACTTCATATTTTTGCACAATAGAAAACACTAGAGAGAGGATTAACACTTTTAATTACTCAGATTAATTAAGCTTTCTGTTGAGAAACACTGTTACCAACAAGTCCAGACCAGGATGTACGTCAGATACCAAGGAGTTCATCTTGTGGAAACAGCTCCTTTGATCTTTTTTTTCCTTCCAAGTCATCAGTTATTTATAGTTGCATTTCCCTATAGCTGTGGCTTTTACAATAATAATGAAAGTATTGAACATCTTAAGCTAAACAACACTCACAAGTTGTCCAACAGAGTTAGATAATCTTTAATAAAACTGTCTGGGGGAACTGCTTCACTGATGAAGGATAACCCAGGACATCCAGACATTTCCATAGTGTAAACTTGATGATGAAAAGCCCAAACTGAGCCCTGTTTTCACTGACTGCTCCTTGCAGATTTCTGACTCTGGAGGACTCTGGGCTGCGCCTCTGTCACCCAAAGGCAGCTGCAACACTGGCTGCAGCCATGGAGATGTTCTGGTTGGAAGGGTTACCTGAAGCGTATCTGGTTGAAGCAGGTCCAGTTAGATCAGGTTGTTCTGGGACTTGTGCGCATGGTAGAATGGGAAAATTAATTCAGCCCACCAGCTTTTAGTTAAATTCAGTTGGCCTTCAGTGAACCACTATGTGCAAGGGGAGACCTGGAGCTCAGGAGAAACATTTGCTCATTAGAGTGACTGTGAATTAGTTGATGGTAGAAAAATTACTTGTTTGCTTCATGAATCCTCAGTTAATAAAAACACCTTCTGCAGAACTGAGAAGCTAACTTTTCTTGAATCCTGCACTTGTAGATAGTTATTAGGATGTGAAAGACACTGCTCCATTCAGACATTAAAGCCTCTTCAATGCAGGGAACAATCTTGGTTTTCCTACACCATTCAAGTGCATTACCACAGGTCTGTCCTTCCAGTTTTGGAAGATAGAACCTTGAGTCAGTGATAATCCTAAAATTACAGGGATAGACTTGAACTTTGATATTCAAAGCTTTGTTTATTTTATTCATGTTTAAGTTATGTTTATTTTTATTTGTATACAGCGAGTCTGTTTAAAGGCGTTCCTGGGAATAAGTAAGGGAGCAATGAGGAGTGAGCTGCAGGCTAAGGGCTGCGTAGCATTTCAGTTTACAGAAAGCAGACATCTATCACCACCATGGCTGGCACACACAAAACACACAGAAGCCTGTGAATGCAAGAGGATTTGGCCACAGAAACAAATGAATCAGTCCAAGACACTCAACAGCTGTACAAAACTTCCTGTCTCAGAGGAGAGACAGAGGAGCACTGACAGATCTGAATACTCATGGTTGTTAACAGCCTCTGCCTGTTGCATGTGGTGATGGAACCTGGAACCCACAGCGTTCCTGAGACTTGGCTTCTCACATCCACCCTGACCTCAGCGAAGAAACGCCATAGCTTGCTGCAGTCAGGGCTGTGGAGCTTCTGGGCAGCACCTACATCATCTGTTCGCTGACAACTCACTGCCACCCAAAGGGCAATGGATTTACAGGGGCTGCTGTGTCAGGCACAGGAAGAGAGATTCACCATGA